ATCAGCATTTCATATAATCAGTAACGACCCAGTTCATCCACGTGATCTGCTGCAGCTGAGGACACATGATCTGAATATTCTAGTTTTCAGGCAGTCGTCCCTGAAGAGACGATGGACAAAGCTGAAACTGTCTGACAGCCCTGCTGGCGGGAGAGCCTTTTATTTCCTTACATCAACAATGAGTCTCTTCCATCTAATGTGAAAACTGCAAGACGACAAAAAAAGACCAGCTGTCGCAGAGAATGAAGCAGATTTGGAAAATGCGCTGCTTTCTCTGCTAAAAGTGGTTTGTAAAGCAAACCTGAGGTGAAATGTTGCCGCGGTGCAGAGAGCAGCACAGAGTCACACAGCTGCTCCTGAAAGTCATCGTGTTGAACTAACTGTACATGCAAAAAGTGAAAGAAATGGTTTAATTAAATAAAAAAACAACCTTCTGGTCCGTTCGGTGCACGCTTGTCACGGTGAAACTTGTCACTGAGAAACGACCTCGTCTTTGTCAACTTAATCTGCGATCGCCGAGTTGTCGGCTAAACGGGAACATGAGTAAATATTTGAGCCTTAGAGAAGGTAAATGCAGACAATTCAATGTGCTGAGCAATAAGCTGTTGTAATAAAGTTCGTATCTCTCCTAGCACAGTTTGCTCAGACTCGCTTCTCACATATTCAAATGTTCTTAAGGACTGTGATCATAATCAGACACGGTGCTCACCTTATAAGGCACCGTGACAGACTGTGGGAAGCTCTATTTGCATGGAACTGAGAGGTGTGTGTGTGTGTGTGTGTGTGTGTGTGTGTGTGTGTGTGTGTGTGTGTGTGTGTGTGTGTGTTGGCAGCTCACCTTTCTGTGGCACGTGTAAAGTTTCTGCGAGGAAGGAACGAGTCCTGCATGACATTAGTCCAACTCGCTGTTTATGGACAGTGAAAGTCAAAACATTCAGCCGTTTGGTGAAAATACGGATCTGAAGTTACGAAGGACAGAAAACAGGATGTAGGCGTTTCATCGTGTGCTCAGTACAACGAAACCACTTTGTGTGAAGTTAAAGGACTGAGTCTTTATGTCAGGATAGTGTAACCAGTCAAGTCTTTGTTTTTTTTAAATTTATTTTAAAATTGTATCTTGCACTAGTTTTATTTCTAAAAGCAAAACGGGTTCATCCAAACCATAAACTGAAACTGGTTTTAAAGAGTTGAATATTGGCCTAAAATTAAAATTGTCTTGTGTGTTTGCACTTAGATTAACCCTAATGTTAGCTTCTAAGGAGCTGGAGAGAAAAGCGACCGAGAGGCTTCTCGGCTCAGAGGTGAAACATCTTAAAGAAACTTTATGAAGTCTAGTCGCTTGACCTGGATGTCTGAGAACCTACACAGATACATTAAGAGTAAGATAAAACATCATGTTAGTGAATGTACTCACAGATGTACCCATATGAACCTATGGGTGAACCTAATCTTTGCTTATGTCAGACACAGGATCAAAAGTTAAACTGATTGCGGCTCCGCTGATGATTATTCTGATGATTAAGCTGCAAATGAGTTTCTCTAATCTTCATGTTTGAGACTTCACAAAGCTTGTTTTATCTGTGAAACAGCATAACTCGGACTTTACTGAGGCACAAAGAAAATACAAGGTTAATTTTTCTTCTTTATCAGCTGATTGACTTTTTCACCCAGATCTGATCTTGTTTTGATCCTTTTGCAAAAGCAGTGACTCATAAATGTTGTCAAAATTCAGCAACATCTGTATAGCTGCTTTAAGTGTGTGTGTGTGTGTGTGTGTGTGTGTGTGTGTGTGTGTGTGTGTGTGTGTATTCATATCTCTGTGGGGATCAAAAATTAGAAGTTTACTTTACTCATAGGGACCAAAATCCAGGTCCCCACAAGTTTGAAGGTATTTTTGAAACTCAAAATGTGGTTTTAGTGTCAGGGTTACAGTTGGGTTATGGGTAGGTTCAGGGTCAGCAGCTGGGGAAAGCTTTGTGTCAATGAGATGTCCCCACAAGATATGAAAATGAGTGTGCATGTGTCTCTTTTATGGCTATCATAAAAATAAAGCTCAGGGGACGTGACCGTGTGAGAAGCTGACTTTGTTGTGTGTTTTCTGACAGATGCCAGCACCTCGTCTGAGATCTTTCTCAGCTGTTTTTTCCTTGTCCTGCTCCTTTACGTCTGGTTTGTGCGTGCGTGTGATTTACTGATGACCCTTCCTTGGCATTCCAGCCATTCCCCTGGTACCTGGGAAGTGGTCTGTTCCCCAGCGCGATATTTTTAGGTCCTGCGAAGCAGCTGTCAGCGTTTCTGCTTGCACACACAACCCTGCTGTCTGCTGACTGAAAAATGTGGTGAGGCTGAAGATGCAATCTGCCTCTGCCTCAGTCGGGCTCTCATCCAGATTACATAGATGTAATCGGAGGGAGGTTTGTGTAATTACAGCGGCGATGGGGACGGTGCTAAATCTGCTGAGCCATAAGGTGTGCTCACCAACAATCCAGTTCTGTGTTTGTTTGTGCTTCTTTCACACAACACTGAGTCATGTTGGTCCTGAGCTTTCTGCTCCACAGAGGAGCAGAAAGCTCAGCTCAGATTGCAGCAGCCGCTCGCAGCCCGAGACGTGGCGTAGTTGATCCTGGAATATCAGCACGAAGCGATCTGTTCAGTTATCACAGCTCATGTTGGAACTAAGAGCAACAAATGCCAAATAATAGAGAGAGAGGTGAACAGTGTGGGTCCTTTGTGTGATAGTCTAACATTTAGAGTGTGTCTCAGCTGGTCAGGCTGCTTTTGGAGTAACTATCTATGAGCACAAATTGTTGTACCTGAAGAGGACTGGTACTGATGCTTATACAGCAACGTCTGAAGGTGTGCTACACGAACATGTTGTTTCTTCATGCACATGCTTTCCAACTCGTAGGGCTTAATAACAAAAGAAAGAAAAGCAGTCTTTGAAAGAAAATTAAATTATTTTGATGAATTCATTTGCAAAAATGTTTTCAGAAGGCTGCGTGTAATGATATTCACTAAATGAGTGGCACAGTGTATTCAGTATAAATGATTTGATGCTGTGCGATGCTGCAGGGTATAAAAAAAAATAAAACTGTCAGCGATCAGAACAAAGTGACAACGAAAGAAAACAGCAGTGAGAAGAGTCAGTAGCTGCAGGGACCCGTGAGGGACGGCTGGATTTAAACCGCTGAAACTTACAGACGGTCACAGTGTGAGTGTCCTGTGCTACATGTGCTTATGGAAATCCATCCGAACACTACCGATAAAGCACATTAGTTATTCATTCATAATTAATGTCAATAAATTGTTCTTTTATTAACTCGACTGTCTGTCGACCTGCAACTCACAAGAATCACTGATCCTCCTACGGGATTCACACGATAACGAACTGAGAGGTTTTCACCCCGATTGATCACTTTTGTTGTTTTACGGGCAACAACCTGAGAGTTATGAGTAGGGATGGGTATCGTTTAGGTTTTATCCGATACCAGTACCAAACCGGTACTTTTGAAACTGTGCCGGTGCTTAAACGGTGCTCGAACCGGTGCTTAAAGAATCAAGAACACAAAATTGGTCCAAAAACCTCTCATGTTCAGCTGTTTCCCTCTTTTTCTTTGGTCCTTTTAGCCTTTTTGGCCAGGGTGAAGGGAGTATCTGCCATCAAACAAGAAGACAGCCGCATGTAGCTATGGTGATGTTTGTTAGTTCACCTTACATGCATTAATGTAATAACGTGGTTAGCCTACTCAACGTAAATTACACACGAACAACATTAAGCTACTCATGCAGAGAAGAACGGCTGCTGCTGCATCATCCTCATCATTTCTGCTACACTGGCAGGGCTAGGGGCCAGGACTCTCCTCTTCGGGTTTTTGGGGGATGTTGCTAACTCCGGGTCCGATAACAGGCACCACACCCGCAGTAGATGCGCTCGGTGTGAGGTCTCGCAGCAAGCTATCAAATACGGCGCATTTCTCGGCTTTTAAAAAAACGCTATGCGTCGCCAGGTGTTTGATCAGATTTGAGGAGTTACCTCCTTTGACAGTATCACAGTATCAGCTTAAAGCACTTGTTGCTGCTGAGTTTGCATATTTTGCTGTGAAGTACAGCCAGACTTTTGACCGCTTCGCCTTGGGCATCTTTAATCTGTAGCTCTGCTCTAAAAGAGCGTACGTACCTGGACCCGCCTACTACGCTTGCAAAGGTAAAATGATTGGCTAGAATCCAAAGTGTGTGACATCTCAGGAAAAAAAAGCACCGAAATATGTGCGCTGCTTTTCGGTCTGGTTACTACCGTTTATGTCAGAACCGGATACCGGTACCCATCCCTAGTTATGATGGACTGTGAGTCAGACGAGCTTCTGCACACAGATGCTGTGGTTACGTTTAACTTGAAGTTGTGCTGTTCAAACGCTAAAATGCTGTGATATGACAATATGAAGACCGTCGAGCGGTAAAGCAGTTTAAAAAGTGCATCAGAGAGACACTCGTGTTATCAAAAGGAAACTTTAAACACGCAAAAGGTCTTTTTGTGAAGCGTTGAGTTCCCTCGTGCACTGATGACCAATCGCTGTGATGTTTGAGGGAGAACAAAAGAAATGAGTAATATTTGTGGCCATATGTTAAATGACTTTTGCCGCCTTTGGAAGCGCGAATGCTCGAATAGCTTTTCTATAACTGAAGGTCACGTGTGTGTAACGTGCAGGACTGGCTTATAGAAGGTGAGCGATTTACCCGTCATGCCCACACGATTCATTAACTTCTTTTAATAATTTCTTTTTATCCAGATGGTAGAAGCTGGTTTCATTTTTACTTTCACCCTGAACCTTTGAGTGTCTCTGGTGTTTACAGCAGACGATCAGGAGAAAAATGTCTCAAACTCGAGCGAACTTGATTCTGAGGCCCCGACTGGCATCGCTTTTGTTACTTTTGCCATGTTGGTTTGCTGTTTCTCGACTTACTGCTAACAGACGTGTGTGTCTGTGTGTTATTTTCGGCAGGGGGAGAAGAATGCCGGCTTTGATGTGCTCTACCACAACATGAAACATGGCCAGCTGGCAACCAAGGAACTCGCCGAGTTTGTCCGAGAGAGGTGAGGTTTGTGTGTATTTGTGAATATCTGTGTGGGAGGTGGTGCAAGTGATGAGATTTGGGTGGAAAATCCACCGTTCTTTACTACGTACATGGATATAAAGATTGTGCCAAGTTGGAAGAAATACTGGAAAATACCAAAAAGCATTCTGATCTCATCTCTCAGTATAACAAGGTGTTCAGATTCATCCTGTCTGCAGATCGTGTACTGTGGAGCACACAAGTCTGTCTGTGCTTTGACCTCTGACCTCACTATTCTGCTTCTTTTGAAGTGCCTGTTTCTCAAGCACTCAGGTCTGAGCACTGTATGTGGATGACCTCTCATCATAGCTCGCCACAGCAGGCGACACACTGCACGCTGCAGTTCTGAACTTTTTTTCTATCATAATCCGACGAGCAGAGCAAAACTGCATGACGCCGTTGGATCGGACATGGCGCCATCTATACAGTCAGGTCACATAAATATTTGGACAGAGATGACTTTCTTCTAATTTTGGTTCTGCACGTTACCACAATACGTTTTAAACGAAACAACTCAGTGCAGACTTTACGCTTTAATTCAATGAGTTTTGACAAAATAAAGCATTTTAACAGTCTTTTCATTTCAGGGCCCAAAAGTAAATGAAGAAACTAAATAACTGAAAATAAAATGCTCATTTCTAATACTTGGTTGAAAACCCTTTGCTGGCGTTGACGGCCTGGTCTTGAACTCATGGACATCACCAGATGATGGGTTTCCTCCTGCTGGGCCTTTACTGCAGCAGCTTTCAGTTGCTGTTTGTTTGTGGGCCTTTGTGTCTGAAGTTTAGTCTTCAACAAGTAAAATCCACGCTGAACTGGGCTAAGATCAGGTGACTGACTTGGCCATTCAAGAATATTCCTCTTCTTTGCTTTAATAAACTCCTCAGGATCTGTGTTATGAAACGCTGCCCAACCAGTTTGACTGTATTTGAGCAGTCTGTCTCTGGACACTTGCACCTTGCAGTGAACCCTCTTATTTACTGTCATGCAGTCTTCTCTTTGCGGTAGGCTTGGATATCGATACGCCGACCTCGAGGAGAGTGTTACTACTTGGTTGGCTGTTGTTAATGGAAATAATTCTGCGATCATCCACCACCGTTATCTTCCGTGGACATCCAAGTCTGCGTTACGAAGTTCTTTCAAATGCAAGCACCACACCTCAGATTAACTCCAGGTGATCGATTTCCTTAATCAACAATGACATAATAAAGGAATTCCCCACACCTGCCCATGAAATGGCCTTTGAGTCAATTGTCCAATTACTTCTGGTCCCTTTGAAAAGAGGGTGGCACATGTTGAGTGTGGGTGCCCTCAAATGAAAGCTGAGAGTGTAGACGTCTTGTACACGTCTATTGTATAACAATAATTGGAAAGTGTTTAAGGAAACGGGTAAAAATGTATCCAGATGTATATATTTACACCTAACTGTGACAGTTTTTACCTCCCTGTGGTGTGCATGTTCAAATTCATCAGGTTATTGTCCATTAAATACATAGAAAGCCACTTAATATAATGTGGCCTTCTCCTTGTACACTCAGTCGAGGCAGCACCCTCACATAAACCAGAGTGCTTCTACTCGTGAGACACACCTGAGGTCACCTGCTGTGTACACCTCTCTGACTGTTGGGTTTCTCTGTGTGTTTTATTGTAGGGTCTACCTTACAATATAAAGCACCTTGAAGCAACTGTTGTTGTGATTTGGCGCTGTATTAATAAAATTAAATTGAGCTCTGCGGTACAAAATATTTTCCTTGTGTACATGTTTACTCTTTAGTAATCAGTTACTATGCATGTAGACACAGTGCACGTCTTTGGGACCTTTTTAAATGGTTTGCAAACTAAAATAAATCAGTCAGATGAAATCTAGTTGTCATTTTTCTTAGCAAAATCAGCATGAGCCATCTACGAGTCAGTAATAACTGGTGGTGCCATCGTGTCTGGGATGTAAAAACGGGACAGTTGCACACTGACACAAAACTAAGTTGAGAGTGTGTAACATCAAATACTCTGTCAACTCATTTGTGATTTGCAGTTAGCACACTGAGGGGAGTAATGAGGAGTTTGTGCTCTCACAGCTGGATGCTAACGCGTACAGAGCACACTGTCAGACCAGCGATATAATCCTGACATCGATTCAGAGTGCTGTGCACATTCCTCACAGGGGAAATTCACTTATCTGCTTGGAAAGCAGCAGACAACAAATCAGCAGTCAGGAAATGAAATAGCACTGTGGGTGAAACCGTGTGCGATCCTGCAGGATGGAGGCGAGGCAATTGTCCTGATAAATTTCCTCAATCTTTCTCTCTCGCCACTTTCCCGAAAGGTCATTTTGATATAAGAGAGTCTATGAAACACTCGGTGAAAGTACCAGAGCAACCCTTCAGCCACACTATCAGGGTTTCTGCATTCTCTGCATAGCACTGTATTTACTTTAAGGAAGACAATCTGATTGGCTAGAGCTTGGAGTCTGAGGATAGACGACGGTTGTCTAAATAAAATGTAGCAGAGATCAGCCTTTAAATATATCATTCAATGAGCTAATTAGTTACTAAACATCACAGTGGTCATTTATTATATAATTATGTACTGAGAGACTTTAAGTTAGATACAGTTGTTCACAGTTTCCAACAGTGTGAGGATCTCATCCTGGAAATAAAAAGTATTTGGATTATAGTTGGTGGATGTCCTACAGACACTGCATTAAATAGACATTCATTACACAGAAGAAGAAGAAGCAGCAGCACATGAAAGTGTTGGGCCGGACGTGTTATTGGTGAATCCAGGTGTATAAAATGAAGCACTCAGCCGGTCTGTCTTTACAAACACTTGTGAAATAATGGCTCATTCTAAAAAGCTCACTTACTGTGGGATTGTAATAGGATGGCAGCCCGTTTGTGAAGTTTCTTCCCTCTTTGATATTCCACAATAAGCTGTAAGTTGTGTTATTACAACGAGGAAGCAAATAGAAAAAGCAGCAACTCAGCCATAAAGTGGCAGACCACATGAAGTCACAGAGCGCCGAGGCGCACAGTGTGTCACAGTACCAACGCTCCAAACTTCCTCTGGCAGTAACGTCAGCACACAGTCTGTGCACGGGAGCTTCCATGACTGAGCAGCTCCTGCAGGTGCCATTTGTAGGTGTACCGTGATAACTTCACTCTGGGATAAAATAACTGGTCATCTTTATGGGAACCACGAGCCATGGAAGGCTGGGCAAAGCACAACAACAAAAAACAGATTTTAAGCCTTTCTAATAAAAAGTAACAATAATAAACAAAACTTTAAAGCACGACCGTCAACAGTAACATTAATTCTCTATACGTGCTGTGTCGACACAGATCAAATAGAGCCCCCATGAATTTTTAATAGGTGCAGTTTAGTATCCAAAGATATACAGATGTTCACAAGGAGCACTAATGTGAGATTCCATTAAAATAAACCACTTCTGAAACTCCTAAAACATCAAACATTTAACCTGTTACCACAAATCAAGCCTAGTCTTTGGCCTCCTACAGAATAGAACTGGATCCTTTCGGATAATCAAACGCCTAAAAAGGTCAGTTTAATTTAAGATATAAGTAATAACTTGTGAGACTGATTCAAACTCTCTGCACGAGACGAAGAGCAACGATAAGTCTGTTTGTTTACGACTCTCGGTTCTCCTCTGCAGCAGGTTCCTCTGTTCTCGGGATATTTGGATCGATGTTCCTCTGCTGTCCCTTCAGGGTCCACAGATGGTTATTAAAGTTTTATGGCCAACCTTGTAAACATCTATTTATCATTTAAATGTGGCTCCTTGTAACAGTTACCCAACACAGATGAAAATTAATCTTTATCTCACAGACTCTGACTCAGGAGGCAGATGCCTGGTGTCTGGGCCAAAGTAAGCTCTAGATGGAGAGCATAACATATGAGGCCATTAGCTGATGCAATGGCGTTGTGAGGAAGTGCTACTGGAGTGCATTTGGTTTATCGGTCTAAAGGGTATTTCGATTAATTTACATTTCAGGGGGTTTGTGCATCATTAGTCTTGTCATGCTATTAGGATAACAGGAAGGCTAAGAAAAGGTGTGCAGCTCCACCTTGCAGGCATACATGCATATGTGGATGAGATATAAAATTAGTCTAGCCATGTGTCCTGTTCATGCTTACGTATATATGTTTTTCTCACTTTCTTTCCCTAAAGGGCTGCTATCGAGGAGACTTACTCTAAGTCAATGAGTAAACTAGCTAAAATGGCCAGCAATGGAAGTCCACAAGGGTGAGTACCTCATGTACGATATATAACAGCAGGACAGCGTCCTGTGAAGGGGTTCAGAAAATTACTGTATAGATTTTATTTCCCAGAAGGTGCTGGTTTGGTAATTATAGATGTGATGGTCATATGGCTGCATATGAGATATGGATGAGCACCATCTGTGGCACCAAATGCCCACATTTGTGATGCCATTCAGCCTATATCGTTCCAGTCATGTCGTCTACTCTTTGATGGATGATATTTGTATGTTTAATTACCTTCTAGGACTGCATCACTGGACACGATTACACAAGTCTGCAATGGTTCAAAAGTTTTTCTGTATTTGTTTGTTTTAAAGCTGATTTGGCTCATGTGGAAATACTTTGCTGTGCTAATCATATTTCAGTAACATGATTAGAGTGTGTGGATTGTTTGGCTGTTGTCAGTCAAATCTTATCAAAACACAACCAAATAAGCTGAGTTTTGTTTTTTACTTCACATTATAAGACAACAAACAGTTTTCTTGGCATTATTTAGAGTTTAGGTTTAGTTTTTAAGCTGCGTCGTCTGGTAGCTGCGTGTATACTCCGTGCTACATTGTTGCAGTCCAACATCACTGCTGTGATTATACTGTATATGTAACAAAGCACACTTCTGCACACTCTGGTCAGTGATTCGTTTTAGTCAGACAGGGCTGTGAGAGCCCTGCATCATTGATTTCCACATACATCGATCAGCCATACCATCGATGTTCTTGGTCTGCAGCGGTCAGTGTCTCTCAAAATTGGTTCGAGGAAGGAACAGACGTACCAGCGACGTGGTTGTAGGCAGCCAAGCCTCACTGATGTGTGTCGGGAGTGAAGGCCGGCCTGTGTGGTCCCATCAACAGACGAAAAAGTTCATGCTGGTTCTGATAAAAGGTGTCAGAGGTGCTCAGTCAGGGTGTTGACTCCTGTCCACAACTGAAAGCGCCAACAATGTTCTTCAGAACTGGACCACAGAGTAATGGAAGAAGACTTTCTTTTATATCACATGGATCGTCAGATGCATGTGCCTCATCTGCTATCTAGCAGATATCTGCATCAGGCCAGCGGAGGCAGTGTGATGCTTTGGGCAGTGTTCTGCTAGGAAACCTTGGGACCCGCCATCTATGTGGATTTACTTCGACCCGTACCACCTACCTAAGCATTTTTGCAGACCATGTGCACTTTTTCATGGGAAACGTATTCCCTGATGGCTATGACCTCTTTCAGCAGGATAAAGCACACAGGCACAAAGCAGGAATGGTTCAGGATCGGTTTGAGGTTCATAACAACAAGTTTGAGGTGCTTCCGAATTCTCCAGAGCTCAGTTGAGTCAATTGTTGGTGGGATGTGCTGGACAAACGAGTCCCAATCCGTGGAGGCCTCACCTCCCAACTTACTGTTGCTAACATCTTCAGACAGCACACCGTCAGAGGTCTAGTGGAGTCTGCGCCTCGATGGGTCTGGTTGTTTCGGCACCAAATGGGACCAACAGAATATTAGACAGACTGTTATGCTTGATGTTTGAAGGAAAATCAATTTCAGTGATCTCTGAGTAACAAAATGAGAATAAATTTGTGTAAAACAATAACTGCAAATGTAATTTTACATTTTTGGTCCTGTTAGTGATGATAAAAACTATTAATATGGTGCCCGACATGAACAAATATACCTATGAAATACTCAGTGGTCCACGATTTCTTAAGCGTAGTGGAAAATGTAGGAGTCTTTAGGACAACAGTGGAATTACATGTTGATTATCTCTTATTACTATCTGCATATTTTCCAGGACTTTTGCTCCCATGTGGGATGTTTTCAGGGTGTCTTCAGACAAACTTGCCCTCTGCCACCTCGAGCTGATGAAGAAGTTCAACGATCTCATCCGCGATATCAACAAGTACGCAGACGAGCAGGTCAAAATTCACCGCAAGGTACGTATCTGAAGTGAGGGGGAAAAAAACACTTCACCCCAGTCCTGCCAGCCCTGATCAGCTCTTTTCTCAGAGCATATCCAGTTACCATCCTTTCCTTCATGTAATTGGTGCATTTGCCCTGAAAAGTACTCGGTACAATGATCCCCTGCACAGTATGTCCATATGTAGGCTTTATTCTTTATGCATGTTTATGTGTATCAACCAGACTAAGGAGGAGATGGTGGGGACGGTGGAGGCGGTGCAGGTGCTTCAGGTTCAGAGCGGACAGCTTCAGAAGTCCAAGGAGGGTTACCACGCCAAATGTTTAGAGCTGGATCGACTCAGGAAGGAGGGAGGTCCTCAGAAAGAGCTGGAGAAGGTTCGCCTAACCTTTCTCACTGCAGAAACCAACTGCAAAGTGTCCCATGAAATGAAATGTTTCTGTTGTTGCAGAGGTTTGTTGTTGTTGCAGCATCATCTCGCTCAGAAAGTTTGAATTAGATTCAATAATTTAAAAACATGAATGCCTGGGTGATGTTAAGTCTCAAGCATGAGAAATCTCTTGTTTTAAGTAAATATCAACTAGATAGAGAAGGTCTGCAGCAGCGTGAGGGAGCCAGGCTACATATTTCATGCTGGCCTTGGAAAATCTCATAAACTGAAAGCGTGGCTCGAAAAGGAATGAGCAACCTCGAGTTTCAATCAACTGAAGAATATTTACCAAAATCCACTGCTCAAAAAAAAATAAAAGAACAGTTTGAAAACACATCAGATCTCTCGGTTGGATTTAGGTCGGGCGGGGTGGGGACCAATCAGTGGTATCGGTTCCTTCATCCTCCAGGAACTGCCTGCATGCCCTCACCACGTGAGGCCGGACGTTGGCGTGCACGTGAAGGAACCCTGGGCTCCTTGCACCAGCGTAGAGACACGTAGTGGGTCAGAGCATTTCATCCTGGTACTTGATGGCAGTCGGTGCTGTTACCTAGCCTCGTTAGAAAGAGCCGTGACAAGACCAAAAACATTTCTCAGGTGCAGAAATGTCCACAAAAAGTACTCATTAAGTCAGAGTAACACAAATGTACTAATAGAGCTGTAACTAATGTAAGAGTATACAATAACAGGAACATTACAGAATATCTTTACAATAAAATAAAAACAGCCAGCATTAAAAAAAATACTGGAACATAAGTGTGGTCAGTTAACTGTCATTAATTAGTCATAATTATCAGTTGTCTTCATGATGGAGACTGGATCTCTCAGGATCTAGTGATAAATAACAGCTACAGCGTCTTTGTCAGCATCACAGATAAAGTTTGGTCTGATTAAATTTGGGAAACACTTGATAATCAGTAGATTGTACGTGTGTGGGTGTTTGCTGCAGAACATCTGATATGACGTGCTATTCTGACTTTGTCTGGTTATAAGCTGCCCACAGCTGTACACACTGGTCTCTCCTTCCTCTGCAGCTGACACTGTAGGCTTGTATCTCTCATCTCCTGCAAGCTGGTTTATTTTTTTACACCAACTAAAATGTTATTTCTCAGGAAGTGGCTGCAGGAACCTTGAAGAACTGCAGATCTTGGTATCGTTTAAAATACCCAACTTTACACATTAAATGCATCCAATGCATACAGCCTGGTAGAAAAGTAGATTTCCTCATCATTGCAGCTGTGTTATAGATGATTTTATTTATTATTCTTCTATACTGGAATTTCTTTATTTATATTTAAGAAATGATCTAAAGATGTCAGTGCCTCTGTGCTTTACTCCCGTACACTGTATGGATTCAGTTTGGTAAACCTGGCTGTTGTTTGCTGAATGTTTTTAATCATTTGGTCACTTCTGTCTCCTAAAAACTAACATGGCAGCAGTCAAAGCGCAGCTATGGCCGTCTTTCGTATACAGCCTTTGCTAATCTGTGGCCACGGGTCGTGGTAGTTCTGTAAAAATTAACATTTAAAATATATTTGCTTGCAAGTTCATTAAAACTCATATATTAATAATCTTGTCAGACCTGTCAAAGAACTGCGTTTTGATGAGGTTTAGATGGGAGCAGAGAATCATGGAGCGAGGAGCAGCCGGCCGAACAAACTAAATGCACAGCTGTCTTTCAGAAGAAACGCTTCCTGGAGTCTGAGGTGCTCTTTGGGAGGGATACGTACTGGTTTATACACCCAGAAACTCCAAGGCCCCTCTTCTGTGGAACCAGCTTCCAGTTTGGATTCAAGAGACAGACACTATCTCTACTTTCAAGATTAGGCTTCAAACTTTCCTTTTTGCTAAAGCATATAGTTAGGGCTGGACCAGGTAAATGGTAAATGGCCTGTATTTATATAGCACTTTACTAGTCCCTAAGGACCCCAAAGCGCTTTACATATCCAGTCATCCACCCATTCACACACACATTCACACACTGGTGATGGCAGCTACATTGTAGCCACAGCCACCCTGGGGCGCACTGACAGAGGCGAGGCCCTCTGACCACCACCAGTAGGCAACGGGTGAAGTGTCTTGCCCAAGGACACAACGACCGAGACTGTCCAAGCCGGGGCTTCAGGTGACCCTGAATCCTCCCTTAGTTATGCTGCAATAGACGTAGGCTGCCGGGGGATTCCCATGATGCACTGGGTCTTTCTTCTTCTCTCACTATGTGTTAACAGACCTCTCTGCACTGAATCATACTTAATATTAATCTCAAGCCCCTCCCTGAGCCTGGTTCTGTCGGCGGTTTCTTCCTGTTAAAAGGGAGTTTTTCCTTCCCACTGTCGCCAAAGTGCTGCTCATAGGGGTCATATGATTGTTGGTTTTTCTCTGTGTGTATTATTGTAGGATCTACCTTACAATATAAAGCACCTTAAGGCGACTGTTGTTGTGATTTGTTGCTGTATAAATAAAACGGAACTGGATTGAATTAAGGCGGCGCTCCCTTTTCAAAAGACTTTGTTCATGTGAAGGTATCATGTAAAAACAGTCTGTGAACACACCAACAGGAGATGTCTTTAAAACCTTGGCAGGTGAAAGAGGACGAAGATTCACCAAAATTGAATTCAAATCTGACAAAGAGAACAAAAAGGGGAAACGTGGTGACATAACTGCGTCTCTAATAAAGTTCATGAGAAAGCTGTAAAATCCCCGTTTAACTCAGAATACTTACTGGCCCGTAAGCCTTCAATCCAAAAAACGTTCCTTTGGTTAAGACTCCTGTGTCTGTCTGCTTGTGTTGAAAGAGCGACGTGATCAAAGGCTTGTGGTGTAGACGGGTTACTATTCTGAAGCAAGCTAGAAAGAAAGAACCTGAACACACAAACTAATCTGTAGTTATCGTAGTAGGACTCAAACTGCCATCAGAGTTCATCACTGAGAGCTCACAGGTGAGCCCTTTAACAACTGTCAACACTCAAAAGTGTCATAAATATGTTTTGAAAGTAGCACGTGGTCACATTTGAGAAGTTGTAACAAAGTCGTTCTTATTTCAGGACAGCCAGCTGATGACTGGTTACATAATCTGAGTATATGTGATGTGTTCCAGCGCTGCTGCAGACATTTTTTAACAAATCTGTCTCGTTCTCTTGTGGAGTCATTTACTTTTGTCCGTCTTGTGATCGAGGGTCAGTATTTAAGGGCCGTTGTCTTTTTTCCTTTTTCCCCTCACTAGGCGGAGCTGAAGTCAAAGAAAGCAGCCGAGTCGTTCGCGCTGTGCATCGAGAAGTACAACCGCGTGGGAGGAGAGTTTGAGCAGAAGATGAGCGAGTCCGCCCAGGTCAGCTCCGACTCCAGCTGGGCCTAAAGCCACTTTTATCTCTCTCTCCCACCCTCTGATTTACTGATTTATGCATTTCTGCTTCTCTCGGGCTGGATTTTTCTCTCCGTATCCTCCCACCACACGAGAACTCGCTCTTATCTGTTCGTTTGTCATCCTACATCCTGCTTTGCCCAAAAAAGGAAACCTCTGCCCCCGACTCCCAAACACCCACCGACCTGTGCACACATCCCGCAACCCTGCTCGTTACCTTTAATCACCGGCTCTGCACTTCCATGGTTACTGCTGCTGTTACCATGGAAATCTTCAACAAACCCCGTTGAGCGGCTTTGTGTTTTAGATTTGAGATGGCGACAAGAATCTCAGCGACCAATTATCTGTTGTAATAGCTCTGAAGGAAAAGGTCTGGTAGTAATTATGAGGAAGTACTTGGAAGAACAACGTGTCAGGAGACGGTCGTCCGGGTGGAGGAAGGCTGCTTTTATAAGATCAAAATCCTTTAATTCGACCAAGATAAGAAGAAAACGCACGCGGTGTGTGTGTTCACGCACATTCCTCCTGCAGGAAATGTAAATATGAAACCCCTGAGAAGCCGAGGGCAGCGTGCCGTACACCAAAAACAACACCGGCTTTAGGGAGAAGCGTAAAGGTGCATTTTGCTTGTTGATGCAGTTGACAGACGGGCACCTTCACACGATACAAAGTCAGCGGTGAGGCATGAGTTATTGATTGGACCGCTTTGGCAACAGCCATCCTAAACGATTATTCGACTAACTGTTGAAGCTAGTTATCCACAAACTCACTGCCAAACTAAACCAAATGCACCAGAGATGGTTCAGACCCAGAGCAGTGTGTTGTGATGTTTCAGGGAGAAACCAGTTGCATACACAGAAGCGTTGCAGTGAAACCTTGAGCCGTGTCACAGTGCAGATGGAAATGAGGACTCTGCCTGAGGCTGACAGCAGCAGTATTTTATATTTGCTCTCCAAGCCCAGATCTTGCATGTATAATTGGAGTAAAGGAGCTGGCACAAGCTTGCTCATAAGCTTGCTTCTCCACCGAAAGCCAATTTCCCCTATATCAAGACAATTCCCCTGAAGCAGACAGCGACAAATGAGCTGGCTGAATAAAGAGCCAGATCAAACTCAAATGCTAAATCTTCTCGAATTATCGCAGGTTTAACGACCTGGCGAGCCGGTGCCTCCGTAGCTGGCTGACCGCCCAGCTGCAGCGCGGCTCTTTTTCAAAGGCTATTTCCATTTTATTGAATAAAGGTCGAGTTTGAAGAGTGTGGTGGCTGCTCGAAATGCAGAAAAAAACCAAGCCCCACAGTAAGTAGCTCTTAAATCTCAAACCCCACACGAGGGTTTTGGCGCCGTAAAGCAAAGGCTTTTCTTGTCTCACCATCTTTGTCTGTGTGTGTTCGAGCAGAAGTTTCAGGAAATCGAGGAGGCTCATCTGCGGCAGATGAAACAGCTCATCAAAGGTTACTCCCACTCCATAGAAGACACCCACGTCCAGGTGGGACAGGTACGCTGGAGTTCATGTGAAATCCTGCTCTCATATATTTCGCCTCGTTCTTTTCATGCCGTCTTTTTCTTTCATCGTTTCCTCCTGGAGTTACGTTTGTTTAAAGCTCGGTGGGAGAGCCGAGCAGAGCCACAAATCTGGTTCAGGATTTGTGGTGACAGCCGATGGTAGTGGACCGCACACGCTAGGTGTCCTTGCAGATGTGTCAGAGGTGGAATGGTGATTCCAGTGTTTCCCAGTATGACCATAAACAGCGTGTGCTCTGTTTCCTGCGGGGGGGGGGTTTATGTGCAGTTTATATTAAACAAACAGTGTTTGTGGGTAAATTAGAGCCAGGAACTGACACATCAGCACACAGACGCTGTAGCGGTGCGTCGTGGTGAAGAGAGAGCGCTTGATTTACCGGCCAATCTACGTCCCTACCCTCACCTGTGGTCACGAGCTGTGGGTAGTGACCGAAAGAACGAGATCACGAATAAAAGTGACAGAAATGAGCTTCCTCTGACGGGTGGCTGGCCTCTCCCTTAGAGTCGGAGTGAGGAGTTCAGCCATCAGTGAGGGGCTCAGAGTAGAGCCGCTGCTCCTCCACATCGAAGGGAGCCAGCTGGGGTGGTTCGGGCATCTGACACGGACGCCTCCTGGGTGAGGTGTTCTGGGAGAGATTACATCTCTCCGGCGTGTCCTGGGTCTGGGTCAGTAACCAAATAAATCCTTCTGCTGTTCTCAACTGCAGGTTCACGAAGAATTCAAGCAGAACGTGGAGAACATCGGCATCGATAACCTCATTCAGAAATTTGCTGAACAGAAGGGCACGGGCAAAGATCGTCCAGGTACTGTGAGCTGGCTCGTCCAGTTAGGAGGAAACATTCAGCTGCAGAAGTTGCATAACAAAATATGAAGACGCCCACATTCATAACAGCAGCGTGGAAGCTGATTCACAGAAGCAAACTGTGACTGGCTTAAATGGATGGATGTGTGTGTGATTTTCATGCAGCTGCGGTTGGATTTGAGGAATACATGACAGCTTTGGCGCCCGAAGGAGGGAAAAAGAGTCGGGCGAAGGCCTTCAGGATACCCGGTCTGGGCAAGAGGGACAAAGAGCCAGACTCTGCGTGAGTGTGCGCATCAATGCTCCTAATAATACACATCGAGTGTCTGAGGGATTTTCTGATTCACCTGCGTGTTCGTCTTATTTGCAGCGATTCGGCTGTGACCGAGGCTCTGGTGAGTATTTCACAAAAGGTTTAAAGGCCTGTGCGTGTGCGTGTGCGTGTGCGTGTGCATGTGTGTGTGTGTGTGTGTGTGTGTGCATGTGCATGTGTGTGTGTGTGTGCGTGCGTGTGCGTGCGTGCGTGTGCGTGTGTTTACAATGTGCCTGACGGTGTGGGGTTTCCTCGGTCTATTTCGGTACTTCTGGGAACAAACTTGTGCCAGAGGGGAAGTGCAGCGCTCCACGTGAGGGCACGTGTTTGCGTACACAACTCGGTGGATACGCAAAGTGCTGTAAACAGAGGTGTGTAGCTTCGGCCTGTGGTCGCTGCCACAGTGTCATCCAGCAGACTGAGACGGAGAGTAATCTAATTACACAGGTTTGGTTTCTCGATCAATGGACTTTAATTAAATCAGTGGCTGCTTAAAGTTTAGATATGAAATTGTGTTTTATTTAAAGGTTAGATTAGGTTATGATTAGATTAATAAGTAAACAAACAGTAAACTGTTTATTTTTTATTTAATTTTTTTTGTATATTTTTATTTTGTTTTTGGTTATCTTTAACCTCCTAAGACCTGAACTCTTCCACAGCATCTTAAATTTCTCTTTGATATTTGGGCTGATTGGGGCCCAAGAATGAAAAAACAAAGAATTACCAGATTTATTTTTTATTTTTTTACCTTATTTTTGTTTTTAAGAAAAATGAGAGCCACGTATGAGGATATTTGTTTAAAATTTCGATAGAACAGCAGCAGCATAATGTCCTCGTAAGTGGATATCAGGCCCATGTAAAGCAAAATTGAGTATTTTGGTCTAAATAACCCAGAATGAGATGTCCACACATGTGGACGCAGGTCCTAGGAGGTTAAATGAACTTTAAGAAGTTTGCAGTGGTTATCTGTAGGTAACTGGCCGTGAATAACTAAGTCTAACTAGCTGATCAGTTTATTCTCTTTCTCTTGACCAGATTTTCGTTAGAGATGAAGAAATAAGATCTTAAATGTACAAGTGAGGTCAGAGGTCAAATGTTATATTTAGAATCCCCGTATACCTGGATTATTACCTGAATGCTTCCAATACAAACAAAGGCAGCAGAATGTTTTAAGGATAAGAGACAATTTATGAACCTTTGACCTTATTTGACCTTTAAGAAAAGGTCAAAGGTTCAAAGTAACATGATCTGAGGAATCCCCGTGCATCATTCCCTGTATGTTGTGTTTTATATAACAGTATTAACACTTTGGCCTTCAGATCAACACATTTCCCTTAAAGGAAAGGTCAGAGGTCAAAAATGTTACACAGTACTTTGTTGTAATAATCAGTTTCTAAGGCTTTTTTTTTAACACATAAATCTTTCATTTAACCTTGAACACCTCGGTGCAGGCCAGATGATAAGATGACCCCACTCTGCAGCTCTACAACGTTTTATCGGTTCTGCCTGTAAACACGAGACCTTTGAATGACTCATTCAAAGCTTTCCGAGCTTTCACAGACTGGACGACACATCCCAGCGCCGCCGCAAACACGACCTCATTGACGCAGAGCTCAAAGAAACGAGAAAAACGGCTCATTTTTCATGTATAACTTTCTAGAGTTTATCACTGATTTTATGTTTGATGCTGAGCGGGTGACGCGGAGCCCAACAGCAGGCCGTTATTGTCAGACTGCGACGTGTAATCACTGAGTGCTAATGTAAAATCATTGATCTTTACATCTACAGCACGTGGCTTACTGCAGTTAAGCAGCAGCTGCAGCTGCATTTGTCTTATTAATGTGACTTTTATAACCTCGTCATATTAACTAGATCACTCGCCTGCTCCTTAATTATCGTCTTTCCCTGCGATCCTGTTCAAAAACACGTCGGCGGTCTCGGTTACACTCGTCATCTCAGACCCACAGAGGTCTGTTTGTTGAAACCGCGTGTAATGAAATATCATCTTAATAAGCCCGCGCTCTAAAAATAACTGCTCCCATGTCGGCGAGGTATTAGTTTGGATTTCCTCTCGTCTTTATCGTGCTTTCACTCCCAGACGTCCTGCCTTGCTTAAACGATTTCCGTCAAACTTGGAAGTGCTCTTGCTGCTTCAGCGAGCTGCTGGCAAGAATGTGTTTAATGCACAGCAGCTGCAGCAGTTAGTCACCGACTACCAAACAGTGTGTCATATTTTTCAGCTGTATTATTCCCACTAATGGAAAGCTCTCAGTGCGCGCAGGTCGGAGTGCTCAGTTACACCGTGTGACAAAACCCTTCTTTGTGTCAGATATCAGCCGCTTGTCTCTGATCCAGCTGCTGTCTGCCTCCCTCTCTCCCTCCTCTGTGCGCGTATGTTCCCATTCATTCCCGCAGAATTCCCCCTGGAAGTAGACGACGAAGGATTCGTCATCCGAGCTGACAGCACTCAGAATGATATCCTTTTGCTCCTCCTGCATTCAGGGCCAGGAAAGACCATTAAGGAATATTTCTGTTTTGAACCTGTAATAAAGAATAACTGAGGATCCAGATGCGTGGCAAACAAAGAAGACGCCACAGAAAAGCCTCAGTGTTCACGAAACTGTTTTGAAATGAGCTGAAAACGTGGAGGCGACTCTTCTGTAACACGTGACCTTACTGGGAGTCGATGGCACCAGCTCAGAGTAACTTTTAATAACTTGTGTCCTAAAGAATCGTCTGTAATCTTTTTTCCGTCACCTGTCTGCGGTGTCTCGCCCTCTCAGGAGTTTTTATTTAGTTTTTGGTTTATTCAGATCATTTTGTAGCAATCTCTTCTCTCTGGAACATCAACGTTTTTGATTTAATGTAACAGTTTCAGCACACGAACACTCCCAACCCAAGAGGCTGAGTGCTTCTTACAGCCGCTCTATTGTCTTTTTTATGTCTGCACTATTTCAATTTCATGCCCGTATTTAATCGATGAATGTCCACCATATGTCATAAAAGTCTTTATTTAGCAGCCCGGTAATAACCATGACCCAGAGTGTCCACAGTTCAAGTCTAGCGGGGGTCTTATTCCCGCCCTCCCCGTTAGTATTTCCAACTTAGTCTGAGCACCGCTCAGAAACTCTCCAAAAGAGTAAACGACGGCGATTTTGATCAACTAAATCTCGATAAACTTCCTGTTGAGTCTTGGGTCTAAATGTGAACAAGCACAAATATAACGAGGACCATCTGTTGGATGAAAACTGGAAGAACAATCGCTGCTCCAAATGATTCACGTCTCTTTCGTTGCTGTGACCGAAGGAAAGCTTGACTCAAGTTGCGTGACGACAAATTATAACCCCTGAGATCACTGCATGAAGTCTGGGAGACCCCTTAGCTGAGAAGGATTACGGTGATCTTTAAATGGTTTGTAGTCAGAAGGTGAGAGATGGAGTTTAACCAACGCGTCTGCGACGTTTTCAAATTAACCGTAGACGCAGACGCGCCCCTCGGCTCGGCTGCGTTCGTGTTTGGTGGCAGTGTGAGTGGATGTGAGGAGGCTGCTCTCCCTGCCTGTGCCATCTCTCCACTAAGCTCCCCGCAGACACTAATCAGAGTCTGAAGGTGCACGTAACATTTTCATATGCAGATTGAAGTCCGGGGAGAGGAGGAAGGGGGTGTGGCTTTTCTTGTGGGTAATGATGTGGCAGGAAGTGGCAGTTTGACAGTTCTGCACCACTTACCTGCAGGAAGCGGCGGTCCTGCTTATGTTCATGTCCGTCTGTCGGCCCCTCGTTGCTGCTGGTTGTGTTTTTGTTCAGATTTTAATGAAATGAAATGTTTCCCGGTTTAATTATATTTTCCTGTTTGTGTTTCTGAAATCTCAAGTCTCAGGTGGATCATTTTAACTGAAATTAAAAACAGCAGAGTCTTTGTGTCATTTAACCATCACGTAGTTTCTTCCTTGACCCTCCTCCACGCTGCTCCAAGGAGAAGGAGACCAACTTTTACTCCAGCGATTCAGACTTTGATGACGAAGAGCCCAAGAAGTTCCACATTCAGATCCGACCGGTGGCCAGCAGCAACCGCAGCAGCTCCGTTGCCACAGAGAAGGAGCTCAAAGCTACCGTGGGGGCGCTTACGCTGCCACCCAACAGAGGCCGAAGCAGCAGGTTGGCTTTGATTTCCTTTAAATGAGGATATATTTGAGATGTGCACGTTAACCCTCCTCAAAACAGTCTGAAGACGTACTCTTAGTAAATTCCACAAAGAGACAATATGATGACAAACACATTTAACTTTGAACAAAAAACCTCAGCATGTTTTGGAAACGACTACTTTGTTTATCAGCACAAAGTTATTAAGAAGCTAAAGCTTTGTTCCTTTGGGTATATTCATGGGATTTATTGACAATAATAAAAACACCCAGCAGAATGTCAGCTCCTACCCTTTTCATAGCTCAATATATTGAATATTTCTCACTCTCTGTCTCGACTTTCAGGTCAAGCGACATCTCTCCCGTAAGTTTGAATGTTGGCATTTAAACTGCTTTAAAAAATAAATAATAAAACATTTCCAGTCCTTGCTGGTGTGCAGTAATACCTCTGCTTGTAACATAAGGCAGTGGGAAATGTTTAAAGTGCCATTTCTTAACTTTGTTTCCAGGAAACTCGAGTACCGCAGGAGGCCGATCAGAAGACGGGGACGCTGCCTCCCGCAGGGGTGAGTCTTTCAGTATCCAGACATCCAGTCCAGTCCTTTATTTACACAGAATAAACAATAAAGATCTAAAGATAAATTTCTTATTGGGGAAAAATAATGGACAGATTAATGAGTAGTGAAGGCACTTGATAGTTTTCAGTTCTGTCTCTGTTTACATCTGTAAGAGTGTTTTCAGGTTGGTGTCCTTCGTTTTTGCGAGTCAGAATCATCTGTGTATCTGCAGCATCTCTCTGTGTTTCTGTCTAAGGTCAGGGGTCGGCAACCCTGGACGCGCACCGGCTACCGGGCAAATGCCGGATGGTGATCTTTCTTTTTTGTGGGCCGATTTTTATTTTTTATTATTTTGTAGTGGTATAAACAATGAAAGGTGGTGGATTGGCCAGATGCTGGTCGATTAACAGGGAGAGGGGGGCACAAAGAAATACTTTTCTTTCTTATTCTCATTTAAAATGTCTCGCTTTTAATAAATAATTATCTGAATCTCACAACCAAAGTTTTTACCTGATGTACAATGTATAGAAATCATACATATACCAACAAGACTGTACATCACTGTCACAACAGCGTCTGTTTTCATTCAAAGGCTTTATGGCTTTAATACCTGGGGGGCCGGTCTCTAGTCAAAATGCCCGGGCAGATGTTTTGTCCCAGTCCAGCCCTGGGCACGACACACAGTGAGTTAATCTGAGAAGGTGCATTAAAAAATAAATGGCCGGGCCAGCGGTGCACATCGCAGATTAGCTCACATACACACATTAGTTGTGCCGCTTCTTAATGACGGCATCTTAGCTAACAACCCCAACTACCAGACTCAACTTGTAATTGGCTAAAAATCACTTCGCCTACCGGTGAGAGGGACGTTGCTAGCTGGCAGTTTTTTCAAGCGATGTTGAAATTTCCACATTCCGACACTTCAAATGCTTCAGCAGCTGTCGGCTCAGCGCAGCATCAGCACCGCTGAAATACACTGATACATCCGTAGACTCGAGACAGAATTCACAATGTGTTTTCAGGACTTTCAGGCGTTTGGACCAATGTTTTCTTTTCTGATCAAACCAGAAAGCTTTAATAAGCAGCTGGTTGTCTCACATTAACTGGCTGAGTTAATGCCAGTTAATGCAACATCGAAACGCAGCTGATTGAACTGAACAGCTCGACTCTGTGGGGTCAAAGTTTGCAGAACTACGAGCGCAGCTGGACTCCACAGCTGTGCGTGTTCATGGAGCTGCATGTTCACCTGCTGGACGTCACTACCTGACAGGTTTAACTGTCTTCAGAACATTGCAGAGGCCTTATTGACAGTATTTGGCTCTACATGTCTGTGTGAGCAGGTTTTCTCTCACATGAGTCCTCAGGCAGCCTCTGAATGCTGGACACTCGGAGACCTGTGTCTCTGAGTGGGAGACCAGAGATCACAGTAACATGTGTGTCTCTGTATTAACAAACATGCCATATTGGCCCAGTTTATTTTTCTTATCATTGTTGTGAGGAGGCCATAAATAGCATTGGCATTTTCTGTTGTTCAGTTCATTTGCTGTTATGGATAAAAGTCTTTTTTGTTTCAAAATAGCTGATAACTATTTGCTGACAGCTGCCAACATCTGCAAACAAATATGATTCTATAAAGTGGTTCTATGTAGTGTGTAACTGTTGATATACAGCCTTATTACATTTATTGCTAATGCAATCATATGGCACACTGACCTCTGAGGAAACTTTAGATGCACTCATCATCAGAAATCTGATCTAGGCAGAAAATCTCTTCTTTGGTTGACCTTGCACATACCAGTCGTTAGTCTGCTCGTGCTCCGAAGCATGTTTTATTGCAGACTGGTTCATTATTTTGTCAGAGGTTAGGCTCAAGTGGGAGTCTACAACCTGCTGCACTCCACCAGTGGGGAATCTCCCTCTTAAATCCACAGGCAGCAGGATTAATGATCAGCATCTGATTAAAGCCGTTACTCTGCAGTGACAGCAGCACTGGCTGGAGCTCAGTGAGACCCGGCTAATTGCTGGTATTTATTACAGAGAAGATATTGGCGGGGGAGGGGGGGGGGGTCTCATGTAGTCTCATGTCAGCTCGTCCCAGCCTCTGAGAAGCTCTGACGAAGGACAGCGTGCTGCTGATTAGTCCCGATGTCTCGTAATGACGTGTGTGTCTGTACAGATGGAGAGCAGGAGGGCCTTCGCAGGTCCACTCCAGCCCCGATCACAGTAGGTAAGCTACCTTTGCCCTTCACATCATCTTCTACCTGCTTTAAATCTGGCTGTGAGCAGGGTGGGGACACTGTTTTGGAGGTTAAATGGCATCATCAGCATCATCAACGGCCTGTGCAGCGCTTTGAAGCTTTCACCCTCTTCCATTTCATTTTACCTTTGCAAGCTCGTTTAAATGTGAGGCTCATTCGTCTAATTACCTCGTCCTTTCGCCTCCGTCGCTCAGATGAAACGACTGTTTTTCTCGGTGGTAGTGTGGCCCGTATTGTTTCTACCTTGTTACCATGGCAAAATGTAGTAGCGTTAGGCCGGTGTTTATATGATTGTGGACAGATGTGACAGCACAATAGCGCCACTGTGATGCAGGTTTTAGTTCAAACAGGGGCGCGAATGATACGCGTGACCGGGTGGCACTGGGCCCACACCTTTACGCTGTGGAAATCTCGATATGCTGCTTAACTGCTTACCCAGTCAGGGTAGCTGTCACAGGGCAAGAGGCGGGGCTACACACTGGACAGGCCACCAGTCTCATCACAGACAGCCACTCGTGCTCGCATGCACACGCTCGCCAGATTAGACCAGTTCCCCGACACGCTACTCTTTAGCCTCTGGCAGGAAGTTGAAGTACGCGGACAGAGAACCTCCCTCTGCCACTCGCTCTGATTTTCTTTATCGTTTCTTCGCTACATCAGGTTGAGCTCGACAGCGTCGGGCTCGGACAGTCTGTTTGGACCGCCGCTGGAATCGGCCTTCAAGTCCAAAAGCTTCGACAGCCGGGACCAACTCAGAGAGCGGAGCGCGTTTGGAGCGTCTGAATGTAAGGTTACTTTCATTTAACTGTTGCTTGTGTTTTGTTTCTTACAGAGAGACGGGACTGTTGGACGACCTGAACATAAAAGCTCTAAATTCTGTCTCGGCGCCGTTCCCACGACTAATGTGTTGATTGTGTGTGGCAGATGCTGCTTTCTCCTCCGACTCCTCGTCTCCGGAGAATGTTGAGGACTCTGGCCTCGACTCACCCTCCCATCAGCCCCTCGGACCCTCCCCCGAACCAGCAGGCTGGGCGGCCTGGCCTCCTGCATCGCAGAGTAAAGAGCAAACACGGGGTCGACCGTCGGACCCTTTCCTTTCCGCTTTCCGTGACCACTCCCCCGGACGCAGTCCTCACCCGCAGGATGACCCTACCGCCGTCTGGTCTGTCGCTCCGTCGCGCCCCTCGCGAGTTCCCCCTGATAAGGACCCCTCGTCGGTGCGGTTCCCCGCCTTCTCTCAGTCCCTCGCCCCACCAGAGATGGAGTCATCAGTGTGGAACTGCAAACACATCCCACCCGAGGATCCCTTCCTCGCCGCCTTTGAGAGGACCGTCACCCAGGAGACGTTAAACCTGTCGGACGCCTGGGCGCGCCCTCCGCCTCGCACTGCTCAGGAGGGCAGAGGAATGGATCTGCGAGGGGACCCCTTCTCCGTTACCTTAAACGACACCAAGACACTTCCAAGCACTTCCTCTTCCTCTTCATCCTCCTCGTGCAATCGGAAAGAGAGGGAGAGGAAGCGGGATCGCAGCCTCCCGCCTCCCATTTCTTCCGATGACCCATTTGCAATCACAATGATCGGCAGCCCGACGCATCAGTCGTCGTTGGCGGCAGCTGTTGGGGGGATCCCTCCACGCGGCGGCAGCGGCGGCGGCTCCGCCGGCGCCACCAGACTTGGATTCGATGCCAATTCGAACACTTTACCGTCAGCTCAGCCAAAGAAGGAGCTAACGCACTGGAACTCGCTCCACAACCCATTTAGTGAAGGCAACGGCTCCAAATCACAAGAAGCAAGCGGAAAAGGGGAAGGTGGCGGCGGAGAGAGGAGAAAACACCGATCATCGGAAGGTGAGCCGCGCAGGAACGCCCTCCCCTCACGAGGCATTCGGGGCCCCAGGAGGATCTCTGCTTTTCAACAGACAAAGATCAAGACTGTCTGGATCTCAGCACACAGATGTCCTGCAGTGTCAGCTCTCGTAAGGGTACTGCTTTATTCTTTTAAGTTTCTACTGACTGTATTAAAAACATTTCCAGTTCTAATTATAAAAGTAAACGCCGAGAGTCGTGCTGTCCTCCAGCCTCAGTCTGTGGCGCTCCTTAATTAGTCACAAAGGTAGCAATCAGTTTCTTCTCAGAGTAGTCAGAGAAATGAAGCATGAATATGCACATATGCTGGATTTAGTAACACCTTCGTGTCACCTGTGCTGTTTTCTGGCTCACAGATTAAAGAGTCAGCTGTTTTCCACTTGGAAAGAAAAGTGCTTCACAGACTCTCGCTGTGATTGGCCCTTCTAGGTGGGCTAGCCCTTTTATTTCACGTTGAAGGTTATGCAGTCTGATTATTTAATAGCACGTTATGCCTTCCTGATTGGTCATTAGAGGCTGCAGGGTGGCTGCGTCTGATTAAAACAGGGAAAAATAAACGCTAAGCGGAAGGACTGAGATAAAACACATTTAACCAAGTAGACAATACTACAAAGTTAACCAGCAGGTACTTTTGATCTAGGGCCTTTTTTGAAATACCATACCTATAAGGCGCACTTAAACTCCTTTAATTTTTTCAAAAATCAACAGCGCGCCTTATGTGTGAATTCTGGTTGTGCTTACTGACCTCGACTGATTTTACGTGCTACACGGCGCTCAGACATCCGTCACAAATGTTTTAGTCCGACTTTGGTCGGATGGATCGTCGGAGTCAGGAGCCTGGCGGAGTCATCTGGGTCCTAAACTCCGTCTGTTTCAGGTAGTGATGTGCGATACCACTGATTTCCAAGTAAGATTCAGGGTGGAGTCGACGATACTGATCCGAGACCGATACTTTGCACAAAAACATTTTATTTCTTATAAATTATAGCTTCATAATGATTACTGGACATCAGATTACTTGTTCTTATCGCTTAACAATGTAGAATTCATCATATAGAAATAAAAAAACTGAAGTTGTGGCTATTTGAACACCTTGCCTGCCTGCAGCACTAAAGGACTCCGTGAGAGACATCTGTCTCGCCCTAGCAGCACCTGTCCCTGTCCTCCTCTTCAGTTCATCTTAACATACGCTCGTCATGTTCTGTGATATGATTTACTCTGAGGTGTTTGACGAGGTTTGCGATACATTTCTTGCCACATGTATCGCAAACCACGCCTCGGCTGTTTGTGGAGGTAAAATACGTCCACACATGACTCCATTTAAGCTCAGCCATTGTTGTGAGTGCGCACACCAGAGGCTGCCACATTTATACAGCTGTTCAAACGTACAGCTCTGCTATCACTTCCAACATAAATGAAGACAGAAAACTAAACAGCAGTGACGTTTGTAGGGTTACTGAAGTTGGGCTAGCTGGTATATAATGATGTGCTACGTGATTGCTAGCGACACAGCTATGTTAGCATAGCATAAACAGTGAAGCTGGAGGATGAAGCTAACTTTTTTCCACTTGATAAAAGTTAACATGAGGGTTCCTGATGGTTAGGGACAAATGCAATCGCATGGCAGGATGCTGTAAACGGACCAAACTTCAGTCAGGAGAACAACTGAGATAATCCATCCACAATACGAGGTTAGTCATTAATATACTGCAACAACATGGGAATAGAGCAGCTGCAGAGAATTCAGCATCAATGAATCAATGGTAGGGAAGAGGAGGAAGCAAGAAGAATGAGCTGAGTAAAGTTTGACTTATCTGACTGTTTTGTTTTGATTAATGCGCCTTATGTATGAAACATAGGGTTCCAGCCAGTTTTGTTGTTGCTTTGTGTGAACGTTTACCAAAGATATGCAAAGCTAGAACTTTTCAGCCTGACTTATATTTTTTGTCGGGATTGTAGTCGATTGCAATTTATTCAAATGTGAAAATAATTTTTCTCACATGAGCTACAAAACAAACAAAGCTCTCGGCATCCCAGAGAAAAACAAACACTTTTCCAGCTCGTCAATCACTCGTGCTCGTCTTAACACAAACTCGTGTTCAGCAAGTCTTTGTTGAAGCAGTGCAAATAAGATTTTGTCAGCGTGGTGTTTTGAGCGTGTCTCATCCTTTAGATCCGCTTTCATCCACTTTGTGTGTGTTTCTTTTTTAAGGCTCCAAACATAACTTCAGACAGGACACAGCCGAAGGCGTCACGGCCGCTCCTGCGAGAGCGACCCGAGCCAAGAGGTCTTCGGGTCGACTCGGTGGCTGTGAGAGAGTGAGTATCGGTCACGGCTTAACCGTTCAATGTCAGAAGCAAGACTGTCATTAGCAGCACTAACTCAGACCCGGCTGTGCGTTTCAGTCGCGGTCCCTGTGTTCCTCTCCACTGCCAGAGCCCAACCCTTCCCTCACCTCCTCCTCCTCTTCCAGTCCCAGTGAGTGGGGGGTCAGAACCGAGCTCAGAGCCCTGCCGGGGTGGGACAGGCCTCGCCGCTGCCCTTCCAGCACCAGGACCACCAACAGAGACAGTGTAAGCCACACGGGCACGTCTAAAAATGTCAGTTAAAACCTCGCAGTGAGAGCGAGAGATGTGAGCAATGTTTCTCTACAGTGCATCTGTCCAGAGGCCCCAGTCCCATATCGCTCAGCACACAGGAGGCGTGGCCAGTAGCAGCAGCCATTACTGAATACATCAACGCCTACTTCAAAGGTGGACAGCACAATCGGTCAGCGTGGCGCTCTTTATTTCTTCATTTTGTTATCTAACTGCAGACGGTGCGCTTACTTATTAACTTGCCTCGTCTTCTGTCCTCAGCTGTCTGGTGAAGATCACAGGTGACCTCACGATGTCCTTCCCAGCAGGCATCACTCGTATTTTCACTGCCAATCCCAACGTTCCCGTGCTCAGCTTCAGACTGGTCAACATCTCAAAGATCGATCACTTTCTGCCCAATCAAAAGCTTCTCTACAGGTCAGCCATCTTTTTGTTGCTTTTTAAGTCTCAGCTCTCGTGTCTTTATCGTCGCTGTCTTCGATGCTCCTCAGCGACCCGTCTCAGAGCGACCCCGACGCCAGAGACTTCTGGTTCAATATGCAGGCTCTGCAGCTGCACCTGCAGCGAGAGGCCGAAGTCAACCCGCAGGCTTCGTACTACAACGTCGGGCTGTTCAAGTATCAGGTCAGGATAGAAACAGAGGATGCCGCTTCTCCGTGACACCCAGAAAATAACTTTGCCTCGTTTTCTCAGGTGTCTTCTCAGGACCTGGGTCGGGCGCCTCTTTTGCTCTCAGCCGAGTGTCAGCGGAGCGGCACGGTGACCAGGGTCTCCCTGGATTACCACTGCTGCCCCGCCACCGCGCCCTCCACCCAACTCACTGCCGTCCAGGTGCTGCTGCCGTTGGACCACACTGCCACAGACCTGCAGTGCCAGCCGCCCGCCTCCTGGTGAGCAGACGTGACTTCTTTGGCGTATTTAATTTATCCTAATTTTGTTCTACTTTAACATCCAGAACGCCTCATGAAGGCCACAGAACGACAGTGTCGGTGTGATTATAGGGAGCGGTGTGACCCCTCCGTCCAAAGCAAATTTCTCCCAAGGGAGACAAAGAAAGAGCGAAACGTTGACATCCAAATAATGACATAAATAGAGCAGCTTGTGAGATGCAGCAGGTATGACAGAGGTGCACGTGGTTGCAGTAAAGCAGCAGTAACTTGTGTGAGAGCGTGCTACAGTCAGAGGGGGGGAGGTCAGAGCTCAGTCTTCTGACAGTCTGGTGGATGAAGCTGTTCAGCAGTCTTGCCCGAATGCTTCGGTACCTCCTCCCCAAAGGCTCCGGAGGCTGAAAATGGAGCATGAAGGGTGGCGGGGGCGAGGCGAATGTTGAAAATGTTGTCCACGAGGGAGGGCGGCGAGGTTCTACGTTTACGGGTCTTTGAGAAGGAGGTTGTGAAGCCTCCGTAGCACGCGGTGATGCAGCCAGGAAGGACGCGCTCTGTGATGCCCTGGCTGAAGGAGAACGTGATTAGAGGCGGGACTCGTGCTTCTCATCGATTTGCAGAGGAAGCAGAGGCGAGTCGGAGCCCAGGAGACGTCCTCAGAGTTCCTGTGGGAACTTGCTGCTGCTGCTCGCGGTCTCCTGCAGCACCGCTGATGCTCAGTGGTTGGTGCTGCAGGCTGGAGCAGTACCAACCACCAACAATACGATGATGCTGGTGATGCTCAGTCACACTGTAGCCCTGTGACTGTTTGAAGACAGGACAGTGAAAAGATGCTGCATATACACTTCCTGAGAGCTGCTATAAGTAATAAATGTATGGGAACTATGCATCATGGGTAAAGATATGTGCATGGTTAGCAGACTTCACTACTACTGCTGGATCTCCCTACAAGAAGGAAAACAGAAATGTCTGGAGGACTCTGGATGCATAAAATGTCCTGAGTTACACATTTACTCATGAAAAGCCCTGAAATCCTCTTAATGGATTTTGTTTTTAATCTCATCGCTGTGCTGCTGTTTTAGGCCCTCAACACGATCATGTCCTGTAACGCGACTCCGTCTTTAAGGTTTCATAGTTCTGCATTCAGGTTTTGTAACAGTAGGCTGGTTGGTATCTAACTAAAAATGATTGTAGTTGATGCCGAATCTTAAACGTTCCCACTGCTTCAGCGTGGCAGGAGGTCAGTTTAACGTCGTCCGGCTTACGCTCCAATGAAATAATGGCGGAGCTTCATTAGGAGTTGTACCCAGTCTCTCCATATTTCCTGTTAATGTCGAGTCACTTTTTGTATCGAATGTGACACATCATGGTTTATTCTGTGTTTTTAGTCATTTTATTATCAGGACGCCGCCGTGGTGCAGCGATAGTCTTTGTCTCCTCACAGGAAGTGCTCCTCTGTGTGGAGTTTGCATGATGCACTCTGATGTTCTACTTTTCATCTCTCAAGCATTTTTCTGACAACTCCGCACAAACCATACAATCTATAGATGACTTAAAGTGGTTTCAATGGATTCTGAAATTTTCTGGGATTTTGAAATACCGTGCAGTGACACAGGTGCAGGATTATCCTAATATTGTCAGGCACAGCCCCATAATGTCAGGATGTTCCTTTCTTGTGCTTCTACTGCAGCTTCTCAATTAGAGCATATTTTCCTCATTAACTCATTAAGACCTGAACATGATGAATGTAAAAACAAAGAATTATTTTTTTGCTTGAGCGCCACTTATGAGGATATTTGTTTAAACTGTCGATAGAACAGTGGCACTATGTCCTCGTAAGTAGATGTCAGGCTGTTGTAGAGCAGAATTTGGTCTAAACAACCCAAAATGTGATGTCCACATATGTGGACGGCAGGTCCGAGGGCAGGGGTCGGCAACCTGCGGCTCTTTAGACCTTTTAGTGCGGCGCCGCGTGGTTTGGGAAAATAAATTAGTTTTTTTTTAAGTAATTATCTTTAGTGTATTTTATTTGTGTTAGTTCTTTTTTAACTTGTAGTTCTAAATTGGAAGATTATTGTGATTTTGAAATATAAAAATAAAATTATATTCTATTATTTTTTGATCGCTCAAAATAAGCGTCACACTGGCGAAAGCCGGTGTACCCCCCGAAACGCCGTGCATTTATCGAGACTTTCGACCCCAGGTAGGCCAATTATGGATCTTCTGATCCACATTATGTCAGCAGCTCCACCGTGAACTATGTTAAAAACAAACGCCGCTCACGCCTCACAGACGACAGCTTACAGTCCTGCGTAAAGATGAAAGCCCCGACCTGCAGACGCTGTGCGCAGAGGTTCAGGAGCAGAAGTCCCGTTGTAAACATACCACGGCAGACCCGACGATGTTTGCATGAACACGCTTCATGCCTCTTTATTGACCACTTTTCACACACGGCTGCTGTTCGCACACAGCCGGCTGTAGCTTTGCAGCTCACAGCCCGACACACCAACACAACAGCATAGAGAGCACAGACGTAAAGGCGGCGAGGCGTGATTGCGGGTGCCGCTCAGGTGCGTCCGCCACCCCTGCAGCAGCGCTGCAGACCACGCCCCGCCACACACATTAACCTGGTAAAATACATATTTAGGCAGAATTTTGCAAATATCTATTTTTTATCTTTCAGCAGCATCGAGCTTTTTTCCCCAGTTATTTTTTTTAAAAGTCAGGTCAAGGCTCCAAAAGCCCAAAGGAGATATAAGGGTTTGCAGTTTTTGTTTGCTGGATCATTTTAGTTCAGCTGGGCGTCTTTCCTTTGGTTATATTTCTTTAAGAGTTCAAAATGTGTTCATTACATAAATAACATGTAATCCTCTCAGTAAAATTACCAAGAGTCTCACTGTTCAGGCTGTTTGCAGACAGCAGCAGAAAATCTGATAAAGTGGCTCAAAAGCGTCAGAGTGCAGTCATCTGCCAACTTCTCTGCTGGTTTAACTTCTGTGACCTTTGATATTAAACCACATTTGCTTTTACAGGCTGCAGCCACAGGTGGCGCCAAATCCATCGTCCAGATTAACGGTTATCGTCGTTGTCTTCTGTATTAAAGATGTTTAATAGGCTGGCTGAGGTCGATAACCCGAGACATTTGGAGGATGTTTAAAGGTTGGAGGTTCAGAGTGTTTTTGGCCTCACTGACTTTTTTCTGCCTCCGCAGGAACGCCGATGAACGCCGGCTGCTCTGGAAACTGCCCAACCTTTCCCCGACCAACCACAGCAAAGGTCAGGGCTCTGACCTTTCCTTCGTCTCTGTTTTTAACCCCCATCAAACCAAGAAACCTCGATTAGTTGATGCTCGACACCATTAACCGATTCGTTTTCTCCTCTCTGCATCACTGACAGTCGTTGCTCTCGGTGACTTCACAAACATCCGTGTCCTCCTCCCGGAGGTGTGCGTGGCAGCTTCTCCGTCTGGTGGAGATGAACAAAATGAGAGCGAAGCTGCTTCTGAATACTGAGCCGACTGATTGCATGACATTAATGGTACACAATGAGAGGCGGCTCTAATTTCAGCTGGGAAAGTCGAACATTTAAGTCATTTAAGCTGAAGGTTTTCTTCACCCGTGTGCGTCTTTGTACCCGACACCCACAGCTCTCCTCTGTGTCGCGTACCTAATTCTTCTAATCATATATTATTACCTCTATGTGAAGCAAAGGGCTTCACAGACACCGATAAGGAAACTTCACAGGACAAAGCATTGATAGTTAAAGTTGTGCGAGGTGGTGACAAAGCACTGAAAGGCTGCTTTAACTCCTTCCTGCTCCTTCGAATCCTTTTTGTTTCTTTACGAGTTCAATTGTAAAAGTGCAGCTTTGCATAAATGCTGCCTGACAGTCTGTCATCAGTTAGCTTCACCGACTGTCTTATAAACAGGTGTTGCTCAACTAGCATTTCTTCTTGTACGTCTTCGAACGCTTCGTCATACGTGAACGCGCACACCTCTGCGACTCTCGCTTATTCGTTTGTTTGCGAGTCAAACAGGTGAGCCGCTTAACTGCTCCTTAGCTCTGGTAACAGTCCCCCCGTTTCCAGAGGCTCGGCACAAACGAAGCAGACATCTGAGCGGCTGAATGTGGATCTCGTGTGGATATGAGGAGATGTCAGCGAAACTCTGGAGCTCCATGGTTACTTTCAACTTCCAGGCTTCTTTGGTGTTTTCCCTCTTCTTTGTAAAACCACGTTTTTCATTTATAAATGTGGCTTCTTTTGTTACATGGAAAACAAATGTAAACATTTAGGTGTTGTGTTTTAAGAAACTCCGCCCCTTCTTTGTACTTTATATCTGACAGATGCCCCAAAATGATTCTGCTCTTCACCTGAACTCAAAGCGTGTGTGTGTGTGTGCGTCCTGTTCAGACATCTTTGTGAGGACCAATAATTGGAGGTTTACTACTACAGTTAGGTTAGGGTTCGACTTCATTTTTCCTTGTCAGGGAAAACATGTCAATTTAGATGTCCTCACTAAGATAGCAAAACGAGAATGTGTGTGTGTGTCTCAGTGAGGTAAACGGACCTTGAGAGTCACCGACTTCAAAGGGTCAGGTCTTTCCTGCTCTTTATCACTGCCGTGTGTTGATGTGATTCCAGGCTCGGGGACTCTGTGTGCCAGCTGGCAGTGCCTGGAGGTCCCTCGCGGCCCTCCACCCAGCCTGGCTGTTCAGTTTGTGGGCTCTGGGGCCTCGCTGTCGGGCATGGACGTGGAGTTGGTGGGCAGTCGCTACCGCATGTCGCTGGTCAAGAAGAGATTCGCCACAGGTGACTCTGAACACACTCACGAGGTTTCTTTTTACTAATAAAACCGGAGGTGGTGGCATTTCATCTTATTTTACACACTTTACAGTGCTGTGTTAGTCGTTAAACACTCTTCTTTATATTTTGCTTCAAGGAGACAGACTTTGTTGTAATTTTTTAAACCTCCATGGACGTTGGCTGTTTAGCCCCTTCACTTTCAGTCCAGTCCAGCTGTTTTCAGAGGAATGTCTTTGTGTTTAAAGCCCCCAGCACTGACCTGAGAACCATTCAACTTATTTTTAAGATTTTCTTTTTATCTGTAATGGAAATAATGCGAGTATTAGTATTCCTGTCATTTTGATATTATTTTGTGGCCGATGATATACAGGTGCAGGACAGTTAAGCATTTCCTTTCTAACGCCGTTCTCATACTTTAAATCGAAAGCAGCTCAGTTTAGCACGATGGCTGCCAACAGCAGCTGTACGCTTTTACACTTAGTCTTTATACTGATAACATCATTTTTAGCAATCTCTAGAGTTAGGCTAACACTTGGTGCTAAGCCGGGTGATTTCTGGCTCCAGCTCCATGCTTGATTAAGAGACTGATATCATAGAGAAGCTCCAGTTCGAGTCCACTTTGTGTTTATGGATAGCATAACAAAATAGGATCTATTCTTTTTTTTCTTTTCCCCTCAATAGTTTGATTTCTTAATCTAAACATTTTGCATGTGTGGCTTCCTTTCTGCCTTCTGATTATTCCTTTATGTTCATGTCTCTGACAGGGAAGTACATGGCGGGCTGCTCCTTGTGAATCAAACTAAAGGACCGTCAGGTTTCTGAACGGGGATCGCTGAAGGTTCAGAGAACTTTGCACTTTCAGCGCCTGAGTCGAGGAACTCGCTTCCTCCCGTCAGTGTCCTGCTGCTCTCGGACCAATTCTTTTCTCTAATTTATCCCGTGTGCCGTCGTACGTTCAGCTGTCCTCCTCGTCCAGGAAGAAAACTTTTTCCTATTAAATCTGTGTCCGTGTTGTTCTGTACGCCTTTGTGTCAAAAGACTGCAGACTGAGATATGCTGTTGATGACTTTTCTTGAATTAGAGAAAAGTGTGAATAAAATTAAACTTTACTGTCCATGAAATCTCTACAGCATCGAGTCAGTTATGAGCAAACATCTTGTACAAAACCTTATAAAAAAAACTTGTTTGTAAATCTGATGTTTGTGATGAGATTTGATAAAAATAAAAGAAGTGCTGGAACGTTTGGTTTTTTTTGGTTTACATCGATTTATTACACTGTGACCAGGTACAAAATACAGCTGAACTATGCAGTTTATTACAGACCGTCATCTGTCCTTAAGCTAGTTAAAGTGTAGTCAAGAACAGGTTTAAAAATACACAAAATAAGGGTTCAGTATACTTGTAAGAACCTAGTTCAATAAAAAATAATCCTCCGTCAAAAATCTAAAACAGCCTTACAAAACATTACAAAGTACACATAGAAATTATTCTTCCCAAAGCACTTTAAGGCAAATTACTGTGACAGGCACAAGTTACAAAAAGCCTTAAACTCAAATTCAAAGATTCCCATTGCTACAACAAAATCCTCTGTGAGGGAAACGAGGAGGGAAAAAAAAAAGAACCAATTTCAACACAAAACTCCATTAAATCAGATTAGTCCATATAAATAGATTTTATAGTTTTTTTCCTTACGTCAGTTTAATAGCTTACGGAGAGCTTCAGCGCTGCAGTAATAATTAAATTTCATTACATTGAACAGTTGAGATTGGATACAGATTCATCACACACGCCAGTCTAATCCGTTACACATCAAAGCATTTCTTTCTGATACAATGTGACCAACCAGGTAACAGCATGAACAAAGATTAGGCAAAGACCAAAGGCCACGAAGCACACACTGTCTACATCATAGAAAGATAGATATATAATTTATGGATTAATTCCCCAAATAACGCACTGGATTTTTCTATTTCAAACAAAACGTAAGACTTGAACTCGGTAACAGCGTGAGGTCAAAGGATTCGGGGAGTGCGCGTCGGCTGGGACGCCCACGAGATCGTTTTTGGTTTCGAGGCGTTTGATTCGTCTTGAAATGAGCGAGTCCAGATTCCAGTTCAGGGGTTAACGTCCCGTCTCCGTCAAGCTGATTACTGTGGATTTGTTCTGACTGCGTGGCAGCTGAGTAAACTGCCACAGAGCCGTCGCGACACTCAAACCGTGAGGAGGAACGAGGAGAACTATTTACATTTTATAAAAGAACCGGGTGAGGGACACGAAACAGTGGCTACTTTTCATTTTTTACTTTCATTTTTTGTTTTTTAAATAGTTGCCTCATCGCGTGAGCCAAATGAGGCACAGCATAGAAATCTACTGAGGTAAACGGGTCAACGTGTTACACAGCCAAGCTAACAGCAGGAGCTTCCTGCCTTACCGACTACTGCGACATTACGAGGTCCTGCCTGACACACGGAGCCGGAGCTGAGGCTCGGCCGGTGGGAGCAACTGAGGAGAAAGGTCCTTTGGGTCTACAGGTTGCATGTTCTTGTTATTACCCCCCCGCCTGCCCAACGTTCGCTACGAGCTGCGGCAAAGGCAACGAGGAGAGCACACCTACACATAATCACTGTTAAAGGTGCTTCGAATGTTTGAGGTTTGGAGACGATACATTCATACTGCGGTAGAGGCACAGCTGAGGGACAGACATCTCAAAGTTAGCAATCTAAGGCACTCAAATGACACTATGGCACAGCTAGTTAGTCTTAAAAACAAAAAGAGGGAGGATGAATCACCAACACCACACATCCAGTAAAAAAGGAAAAGTACTGCACACACTCATTGACAGTTGCCGCAAAAACAAAGATGCTCAGACCTGTTGCAGAGTGGCGTAAAAAGAAACAACCCGTGAGCTTCTCGTATTTATAAATGCTAGTGAGGGGAGAGCTGACATTGCTACACTCTTGTCTATGTACATTGCACACACTGACTGCAGGAGGATGCTCGGCCCAGGGGCCAAGAGCGGCGACCCGAAAGGCCTAAAAAAAACAAAAACAAACGAGTGAGATGCTGGTCGGTGTGGCTCTCAGTCTGACCCCGTTCACACCAGACTCACATCTCCTGCAGAGGGTGGCTCATTTCGATCCTCTCTCTCTTCACGGCCGGTTCAGTCGGTCCTCTGGATGCATCGGCGTCGCTGCCCAAATCACTCATCTCATCTGAGAAAGACGCATCTGCAGAGACGCACACGGCGACTGTCAGTGTGAAAGCAGTGACCAGTAAAACTACAATACAGTGAAATGCATTCCTAACAGCACCCAGAAGGTTGATGCTGTTCATCTGGACTTAAACTGAATTGTATCAAATGAAAAATGAAGATGAACCTTTTTCCATGAGTGAAGGCATCATAGAGGTCAGGTCACTGAACTGTAATTTAGATGAGAAACTGTCAGTCGCTGCATAACTTAAACTATTCCTTCCTCGCTCTTTAAACACTCTCACCTCTCCCATGACAGCAATAGGAGTTTCTCCAGTGGCCTGAGCCACGCGGTGCTCCACCAGGTAAAACATGTACTCGTCGTAAAGAAGGCGAATAAGGTGGAAGGAGCCGAAGCTGGCTGCACTGCGCAGAGTCAGATCTCTGATCACCATGGAGCTACAGGAGAAGGAAAGATGTCACGTCAAGGAGCTACAGGGAGCTTTACAAGCTAAAGAACGTTTCTAAAAACACCACGCAGTCGGCGGCTTATACTGGAAGTGTGAACGGAGACGAGTCAACCACACCGACCTGTAGAAAGACCATTTGAGCAGGAACTGGCGTGCAGCTTTGGGGAAACTGGGGCTGCCCTGGTGAGGCTTCAGAACCTGAGAGACCACGTTATCCAGCCAGGTGGCCCACTGGTCCAGAGAGCTCTGCTGCTGCAGGGTGACCTTAAAGTCCTGCTCCAGACGCTGAACCACACTTTCGTCGCACTGACACACCCACGACGCCTGCTCCTGTTAGACACAACAAACACGCCACATTCAGCAACAAAACCCCAAACACGGTGTCGACACATTCCCTTCCCGTGTGCAACGCAAATATTTGTCTTTTCGATGTGAGGTTTTCCGCTCACCTGGACGTTGGCAAAGTCCACCCTGTTGAGGTCGGAGAGCATCTGGTTGATCTGGGAGGTGTTCTGGAGGACGGCACGCGCCGCCTGGGCCAAGTGGTTCAAACTGGTGTATCGTCTCAAAGTCTGAGCAAACGCGCTGACCACGGCCACCTGCGCACAGAAAATACACCGTGAGCCCGTCTGACTGGAATGAGACCGAACAGATGAACCGTTTGTTTTCAGGCTGAAAATCTGCACCAAAAATAAAAAGCACGGCTATTTTAAATGTCACAGCGATGCTTCAACATTTATTTATTTATTTCACACATGGTACAGCAATAATTCATTTCCCATACACAGCCTTCCTTTCAGTTAAAGTCACACTGTTTCCATGCATGAAAAGGAAGAAGAAGAAATTCTTACTGACACCTGCCTGTGATGTCTGTGACAATACAAGTAGGCAACCAAAATTACACTCTGACAATATTCTGCACATAACAAAACAAACAGAACAATATACTCAACAATGAGCAACACCACTAAATCTCAAACTAAAAGGATCATTTTTTCAACAATTAAATTCTGTTATTTTCAACTTCTTCATATTGCTTTATCATTTTATCCTTATAGCAGATTTTAAATGGAGAAACATTTGTTCTTATGCCTGTGACTGTTGGACACATTTGCCTTTGTGTGGTTCGACAAACTGATGCTTAAAATAAAACTTCCTTCTGCCGCACAATACAAATAAACTTTGTAACTTAAGGTTTTATTTTTTGCCTTAAACATAATAATTAATGTCTGTAATTTTAATCATTTTGATTTTATAAACAAACTATTAGTGTGTTCTTCATATTTAACATTATGCATAACTCGAAGCTTCTGTAATAAATATAATGGTTTCATATTAGTCACGTATGTATTCCCCCATACTTCAACACAATAGCTCAGATAAGGTAGAAACAATGAAAAATATATTATTCTCATTGTCTTGTAATCTAATATATCTACATTACCCAGGATATAAATACTTTTAGCCAACTTTTTAACATGTTCAATATGAGGTTTCCATGGTAACTCGTCCACCATTACACCCAGAAAACAGATTTCTGTCACTCTTTCAATTATCACTCCCTCTATAGATAATACCATCGCTTCCTCCTTTACACGGTTTCCGAATACCATTACATCAAATCATTGTTTTATTTTTTATTTCAATAACCATAATTTTAACCAATTCTTTCAAGTTTTCTCCAGAACAATAGAAATTTGTATCGTCTGCGAACAAAACAAAGTGTAACATTTCTGACACATCACAAATTTTGTTTATATAGAAATTAAAAGGTTTTGGTCCTAAAACAGAACCTTGAGGGACCCCACAGTCTCTTTTCATTCCATCAGATGAGTCGGCTAAACACTGCACATACTGAAACCTATTATCTAAATAGCTGCTTAACCAGATCAACACTATTCCTCTCACATCATAAGTTCTTAACTTAGAAATCAAGATGTAGTGTTGCAGAGTCAAAAGCTTTTTTTTAATCAATGAAGACCCCTACAGTATATTTATTATGATGTGTTGCTGATGAAACGTCTTCAATAGTTTCCATTAATACTTCTGCTGTTGATCTGTTCCGTCGAAAGCCCTACTGACTTTCACTTAACAGCTGATGTTTTTCAATGAAACTATCTAATCTTTGTGCAAAGAGTTTTTCAAGCACTTTAGAAAACTGTGATAGCAACGATACTGGTCTGTAATTATTAAAACTGTCTGTCTCCCGATTTATAAAGCGGGATAACTTTTGCCACTTTCATTCGGTCAGGAAATACACCCGAATAAAATGAGATTAAAAATATAACAGAGAGGTTTGATTATACAATCCAAGGTCTTTTTTACGATGACCACGTCTCGCCCATCACAGTCAGTGGATGTCGTTTTTAGATTCTGCTACAATAGCTATGATTTCCTTTTCAGTGATTTCCTCTAAAAACACAGACTGTACCACTCTGCTCTCCATTCTGAATCATCCTGTTTTCTAATTAAGTTTGCCAGGTTAGGCCCAATATTTACAAAAAATAAATAAATTCATTCAACACTTCATTCATATCACGTGCGACCTTATTTTTCTTATTAAAGTAAGTAGGTAAATTTAAAGATGTATATTTATTACCCAATAAGTTTTTTTAAGATATTCCACGTACCCTTAATATTATTTTTGGTTTTGTAAAATAATTTATTATAATACTCTTCCTTAGCCTCTCTCATAATTAATACAAACTTATTTTTTATCAACTTTATATTTCAGCAGGCTTTGTTCTAAGTTTTATATAATCTCTATACAGGTTATTTTTCTTTGTACATGCATTTTCTAGTCCTTTTGTTATCCATGGTTTACCAGTAGTTTTCTTTTGCTTATATAATACCAGTGGACAATGATTTTCATACAAAACCAAATAAGTATTTAAGAATGACTCGTATGCAGCATTGGCGTCATTTACATAAACCTCATTCCAATCTTCTTTCATAAGGTCTTGCCTGAACTCATTTATTGCATCATCATTTCTAATTCTTATATATCTGTCCACACACACGTCCTCCTTTCATGTCATTTTATAATCTAAAGTAACAAAAAAAAAAAAAAAAACAGGTAAATGATCACTTATGTTACTTTCCAAGCAATTCATGAAAATGTGAACAATTGAAGTAGCTGACTTTTCAGTTATTCCACTAGGTTTAGTAATCAGAGGGTAGAACCCTCTTCCAAATAATAACTCAAAAAAATCTGATGATGCCTTATGATTGGACGTTTTAAAAAAAATCAATATTATTATCACCGCAAATACAGAATGTCTTATTTCCCTTTACCTTGCTCAATAAATCTTCTACTACATCTGTGAATGTTTCCATCAGTGTCCCAGGCCTCCCATACATACAAGTAACAATTAGATTCCTCTTTCTTTCCATTTCTATTTCTACTGTCACACACTCCATTAAATCAGCAATAGCCACAGACATATACTCAACCCGTTTACATTTCAAATCACTATCAACAAAAAGTGCCGGACCTCCTGCCTTCTTATTAGATCTATTTAATATAATTCATACCCATCAATGTGAAAGTCCCAACGCCTTTCCTCATCCATCCATGTTTCTGACAGTGCTGTCTCTTTAAACTTGCCTTTCAGATTATTCAAAAAATCATTGATCAGAACAAAACTTTTATAGAGGCTTCAACAGGTGAAATGAATTAATGAAAATGTATTGAATCTTCAGTCATTGTGATTGAGTATTCTTTAAATGTCTGTTATCCTTATGAAATACTCATTAACATCCGTACAAGTATTTCACCACATATTTTGAGAAACCACTCATACCTATACAGTTCTTTCTGATCCATAAATAACTGCGGCTCAGATCGATATCTCGTCTCTGCCCAGTTCCCATCCCAGTTCCATATCCACCTGCAGCTTCACACTAATACTCTTCCAGTCTACTGTCTCATACTTTGCCATTTTCCCCCTCCGACAGTCGGAAATAGCGTCTTTCATTGAATAAGTTCGGCTAGTTGTTAGCAAACACATCACAGACCTTCTGCCGTCCGACCGCAGCAGTGCAATCATCCCCCGTAGTTGTCCTGATCATGAAGATCCCTGATCATTACAACCTTGGCTTCTTCTGGTGTTCCGTTGAGCTTTATCATCACTTTGCAATTTCTCGTCCATGTTGCTTGGATTTTCTTTTCTTTACGCATGATACGGGCTTGTCTGGCAATATCGGTGTTCTTTTTTGTGAGATGTTCATTCACATATACTCCACTCCCTTTCAGTTGTCCGGACTGCCTCAGTAGTTCAATTTTGTGTTTTCGATTCACAAATTTTACTACGATTGCTCGAGGTGTCCTGGCATTCTTTCTGGGGAGGGTGTAACACGCCGCGATGTTGTTGCTATGCAGGGGAAGTTTTTTTACTCGCAAAAACTCCACTACCTGACGCTCTAATGTTTGCGTCTCAGTAACTCTTGCATAGCTCCTGTGTTTGGTTTCCAAACCGGTAATAATCACGTCCTCCAGTCGTGCATGCTGTTCCTCCACTCTCCTTCCTAAGAGCTGGATTGTTTTATCCTTTTCCTTAATCAAGCTTTTTAATGCTTTGATTTGGTGCATTAAAGTCGTTAACATTCCTCGTTGCTTAACTATTCTTTCGACGTCTGTTAAGCGACAGCTTAATTTCCTCCAAATCTTCTTCAATTTTTCTCATCTTTGCCATTTTTTCCTTTTTGTTTGTTTGTGTTTTGTTTCAGGCAAAATATATTCGACTTAAAATTAATCACACAGCCTATTCTGAGACGCCAATCTGGCTGTAGCTGCGTTCGCCATCTTGGTCACCTACATCACACGGAGACAGCTGAGGTGGTTTGGGCATCTGACGAGGATGCTTAATGGGCAGCTCGGGCAGCTGTTTCCGCCACGTGATACCTCGGGCCTCGGGGTAGACCCAGAAAACACGGGAGAGATTATATGGAAAGCCTCTGTGTTACCCCCAGATAAGGTGGAGGAGAGGGAGGGCTGCTGCCCCCACAACCCAGTGTCCAATAAGTGGATGGATGGATGGATAAACAAGATTCCACAGTTTTCTGATAATTCACTGAAGAAATCTTCAGAAAAGAATTTTTGGGTAAACTTTTAAGGTCATATCACCATGCAGTGATACACAGATGGACATTTAGCAGCAGCGTATAAAGAACAGTGATGTACATGACTTTCACAGCCAGTAATAACACATAAAGCACAATAGTAGACTGTATCCAACCTCTGTAGGTAGTGGGCAGGTGCATTCATAAAAAACAGATCACTGTAGTGTTGAATGAAACACTGATCACACGAGAGTTTGAAAAGTTCACAGCTGAACATTTGTGGAAATATGATTTTAAAAGCCTACTTGGAGAGTTGCTGGGTTTTATAGCTCACATAAATCATGTGCATGCATGCAGACAATCTGAAAAAGACTTCTGCTGATACCTTAGTGCGGATGATCTCTTGTGGAAAGCTGGTCATGGCATTAGTCAGCCAGCCCTCCAGACTCTTGGCAAAGTTACGGATGGCCTGAGTGAGAGTGCCTGAAGAAAGAGAGCAGCCTGGATTATCATTACTGTCCCCACTCTGCAGAAAGCCTTTCAGCGAGAGTGTAAACGCCGTACGCTGAAAACAAAGAAATGCCTCTAATGTGTCAGCATGTACGTCAACACAGCGAGCCCCTGGTCCTAAATTCATCCTGTTGTCACTCATCAGTCTTAACTCTCAATATATTGCTTTACTTGTTTAATTTTTTTTTTTTTTAATCATTTGAATGAAATCCTCAGCAGTACTGACTGGGAACAGGTCGCAGCACGTCGGGGATCAGGATCTCCACCAGGGCCTGGTAGAGGATGTGATCGCAGCTCCTCATCCACAGCCTGACAGGCTCATATTTACACAGAGCCACCAGCTTCTCTGTGGGAATCACACCTTCCGGTTCATCATCACTACACACACACACACACACACACACACACACACACACACACGCACACGCTTTTAAAAATAACGTCCGCCTCACAAACAAAACTGTTGCTCGTAATTCGAGTGAAAAAGCAGTAATCACAGACATGACATCACAGGGTCATTTAATGCCCTGGCGTCAAACACTGAAGCCTTTTTCCCCCTTTTTCTTTCTGACCTGCTGGGAAGGGTTGTGCTTCCATCACTAGGTGGCGGTGTTGAATACCAAAACGTCTGCCAGAGTTTCTCAATGTAGTGGAACTGGAGGTTCATCACCACATCCAAAGTAGCCTGCAGGAGGGAAGCAGGGGAGGGAATTGAGGGGGAGGGAACAGAGGAGGGAAAAAGAGAGGGAGGAAGAAGGGGACAAAACACACAGAGCTGAACCATGGCAACCAGACACACAACAAAGTTTCTACAGCCAGGCGGGCTGCCTCTCTCTCACTGCAGGTCCTCCTGGTTAGACAATGAGCCAGCTCAAACACAGCTCCCTGCACATTAATCACCAGCAGAATCTTAAAGGCCACGCTCGGGCTTCATCTGGACGGGTCGTTTTATGCTTTTTGCATTTTATTTCACATAGATTTATGCTTCCATCTGCCTACTTTTAGTGACCTGCGCTAACCCATGTGACTTCCTTTTTCCTGTTCAGAAACCCTTTGAAAGGAGAGCATGCTGCATACAAGTGAACACTCGAGCACAAAGGAAGCAGTGGCAGGGTTCAAACCTAAAATGATTTGCCGCTTCTATAACTAGAGTCAGCACATAACCCCCCGCCCCCTCGAATCCAGCGCTGCGCAGATTTTTTGGGGCCGTTCATCAGGTCAGAGGAGGTGAGAGTCTGGACTCCACCTGAAGCAAAAGGTCAACCTGACAATCTGAAACTGTCCACGCCGAGCCTCTGCTGAACTGAAAAGTTTGATTTGCACTGTGAAATTCTCTGCTTTCTCTATCTGGCAGGACACGCACTTGCTGCTGGATCTTGTTACACAGCAGCGTAGGCTCAAATCACATGATATGTTTTTGCTTCCTCTCCAGCCATCGCCATGGCAACCGTGTTTACAGTTGCCCCCAGCAACAGGTCAAACACAGAACTCCAAAACAAAAAGGAGAATTTCCCATCCCCTCTTAAACAGGAGCTTTTCGCGTCCAGTTTTATGTGCCGCCCCCCCCCCCCCCCACACACACACACACACACACACACAAATATAAAAAACATTTAAAGTGTAGGAGAAAAAAAACAAAAAAAACAACGTGTTCATGTGCAGAGCTCAGACAGACAAGCAGGCCTCCGGTGGAGCTTCCTGAATCTTAACTGCTTGTTTCTGTGCACTCGCACAAAAAGATCCTGTGATTTATTACCCTGCAAGGTTTACTGAAAACTAATCATTTATTCTCAAACGTTCATCCAAAGGCTTGGCTGACGCCTGGATATTTGGCTGTTACCATGACATTAATAAATACATGCCCCACACTGGATACTTTACAGCCCACTTGAAAAGAGACTCTTTACACTTTAGAGTAAAATATTATTTTTAGCTAAAATAATCATTATTTGTGTTGTAACATTAAATGATATCAGTAAAACCCTTGGCTAATGTGTTAATAGGTCAGTGTTCTCACACACACACACACACACACTTTTTTTTTTTTTTTTTAAATGACAAAACAGGATAAAATGTCGAGTGCTTGAACATTAAAGACGCAGAGGCAGCGAGACTGACAGAAATGTGCCGGCTGCCAAAGCCAGGAGCCCGTGTGCCTGTCCGCCGACAAGGCTGCACAAAGGCCCAAGGGGAGGCCACCACAAAGACACCAAGATGTCCACCCAGTGCACTGAAAGGTTAATTGGCATGTCTTGAAAGCTGCACGGAGATGAAAAGACGGCTGGAACAAAGGGAGCGTGGTGAGGCTGGACAAGGGGAGGGCAGGGATAATACGATAAAGCCAAAGCTTTGCTGCTTTTAATCACAGCCGCTCGCCTGTCTGTAAAGACCCACGCTTTAATGTCCAGAATTATTTCTGCTCTTCTGCAATGTGGTTCGATACAGGTTGCTGAGGGCGACGCTAAATTTCACCCCGTAAGGTTCCCGTCACACCTCTCTGTCTTCCTCCTCTTTCTCTGCACATCAGTTAAATGATATTTAAATGTCAGTGGTGTCGAATTGATTCTTATTCTCGAAAGCAACACCAGGTCACCGCAGCCGGGCGACGCCTGACCTCGGAGCAGAGGGCTGACATGGGTGTCAGTCTGACGAGGTGATCGCTATTTATGAAGGCAGGAGGTTTGTGGGATCGACTCAAAACGAACAGCAGGAAACTCACTGCTCGCTGATATGATATCTCACACTCAACTGCTGACTGATGCGTAAGAGTTTGTGACATAAGAATGAGTCATTACAGCTTATAATGCCACTAATTAAACTGCAGGCTTCCATTGTTTCAGCTTCATCCTGTTTAGCAGGTAATAAATATCAAAGCTGGAATTTATAACAGTGCAGTAATAGGCTCCACTCAAATGTGTTGTTCATGTGTTTGATGTGCAAAAGACCAAAATAACACGATTAAAACCAAAACTACACAGGACGCATTAATTGTTTCTGCAGATGAAAGACACCCCCCCCCACACACACACCTTTTTTCACTGTCAAAATGCATCTGCTTATTAAAAATTCATCATCGCTGTCTGTTATGTATATTCACAGATCTCTGAAGGTGTCACAAACATGGCACTTAATCCACTGAAAGTAAAGTGCAGAACACTCTGGTGGAGAGGTGTCAAACATAAAGCCCGGGGGCCAAAATTGGCCCGCTGGACAGCTATGATAAAAGTGAAGGAGGACAAATTTTGCACTTTTAACTATATTTCCACGAGTTTTAGTTTTTCCTACTGATAAAGAATTAATAGATGAAAAGTCATGTTTTTTTTCCATTTCAGTTACAGTACAGTATTTATATATAACAAGGTTTTCATTGTTTGTTTAACATTTAACTATGTGAGAAATTGAAGCGGCGAGGCGAGGGCAGAGTGTACTGTAACTGGGAATGGGATGCTACAAAACTGAAGAACAAAGGTTCACGTGTAAGACAAATCCAGAAAAGAATACGGCTTCACTGTGACCCACCTCACAGTGGTCTCTGTAGAGCGTCTGCAACTTCTTAATATCATTCATGTTGATGCGCTCAGGCAGAGGCTGGGTGCCCAAGTCAGGAGTTGGAAACGGAGGCAGGCTGTGAGACATATCTGCATAAATGTAGACAGGCGTCACTCATTTCACTCACACAGCAACAAGGAGTAATGACACATATGACATCAACTGCTTTATGGATACGTGCAGCTCATATGGTCTGCGTCACAGTGTCTGACATTTATCACCCAAGTTTAAAATCTATGTTCTAATAAAGCCAAGACGAAGCTATGACGTATTGTTATTGGAGATTATGTATCGGAATTTCAGGAGCGGGACCACGCCTCCAAACACGCTCTTTCCGGTTGTCATCTATATAGGTTCCCTCAGTTCTGCAAGCTGTTCATTCTCGTTTACGTGACCCTCCCTCCCTCCTTGTTCTCAATTCTTTAACTTAATTTCTATTTAGTGCATGGGGATCTGCTAGACTGTCACCAGTCCCCAAACCGCAGCTCAATTCATGTCCAAGCATCACCTTTACCTACTAAAACGCTGTCAAACCTAAAATGAGGACGTGGACCCAGCTAGTGAAATAAAAATAGCTAGTGCTAGCATTAAAGACTGTATCTGGAAAGAGAAGATAAGAGTTAAACCACCTTAAGCAGTTTCAGTGGGAGCGCCTGTGCTTACCTATGTACTGCTGGTGGTGTTGGCTCTGAGCAGCCACAGACTGCTCTGGAGTGCTGCTGCAGTGCTGCGAGCTCCCACACAGACTGTCAGACATGCTGTCCACCTTCTGCAGAGGCTTGAACCTGTGTAGACACAAGAGGGTGGAACGTGTACATTAGTGATTTTTGAAGGTCTGGGGAAGCACAATGAAAGAATCGGACACTGAGGAGCACACGCACACATTGCATTCGGTACAAAACCGAGACTGATTTATGCGGGTTTATTGCTGATTTAAGCGGCAACTATCCATCCATTCTCTTCCATTTATCCAGCGCCAGGTTGTGGGGGCAGCAGCCTATGCAGAGAAGCCCCGACCTTCCTCTACTTGGCCATCTCCACCAGCTTGTCAAGGGGAACACCAAGGCGTTCCCAGGCCAGATGAGAGATATAATCTCTCCAGGGTCTGCCCTGGGGCCTCCTCCCGGAACACTTCGCGCAGGAGGCACCCATGAGCCATCCCTGGAGCCAACCTGGCTCCTTTCAATGTGGAGGAGTAGCAGCACTAGTGTGAGCTCCTCCCAGGTGGCCAAACTTGTCACCCTATCTGTAAGTGAGAGGCCAGTCACCCTTCACAGAAAGCCCATTTCTGCCGCTTGTATCCACAATCTCGTTCTTTTGGTCACTACCCACAGCTCGTGACCACAGGTGAGGGTAGGGACGTAAATCGAGAGCTTCGCTTTTACACTCAGCTCTCTCTTCACCACGACGGACCGGTACAGCCTTCACAACCCTGCAGCCTGTGACAAAGGGCAGGCCAGGCAGAGTCCAACACCCACCGGAAACGAGTCCGACGTATTCCCGGCTATAAGGACCAAGCTCTGGCAACAGTTTTATAAGGATCGAATGGCTCATAGCAACAGGCCTGGCAACCCATGCTCCCGAAGCACCTCCCACAGGACACTCCGAGGGACACGGTCGAATGCATTCTCCAAGTCCACAAAGCACATGTAGACTAAACTCCCACGCACCCTCAAGTGTAAAAATAGTTAGTCCAGCGTTCTGCGACCAGGACAAAAACTACATTGTTCCTTCTGTAGTCGGTGTTCAGCTACTGGACGGACTCTTCTTTCCAGCATCCTGGCATAGACTTTCCCAGGAAGGCTGAGGAGTGTGATCCCCCTAATGCTGAAGACCACCCTCCTATCCCCTTGTTAAAGATGGGAACCACCACCCCGGTCTGCCAATCCTGATCTTCACACAACATTATAGAGGCGTGTCAACCAAGACACCCCGACAACATCCAAAGCCTTCAGGAACTCAGGGCGACCCTCATCCACCCCAGTGGCCCTGTAGTTGTTTAGCTGCCTCAGTGCGTCGTCCCCAGTCTCTGCTTCCTCTACACAAGACACGACAGCAGCATTTAGGAGGTCCTCGAAGTGTTCCTTCCACCACTTGATAACAGCGGCAACGACATTTTTGTTTTTGAAATATGTTTTCTAAGTTCAGTGGGTGTGTCAGATAACCAAGACGTGCAGTGATCTATTATGTGCGGCATTAAAGAGTTTATTCCTGAGTGAGTTTCACTAAAAGAGGCTCATGGGTTTCCAGGACACACGGTGCATTATGCACACACTAGCAGCAGCGCTGTTCTTGTTTTTGGTTAAGCAAAAGGGAAATGAACATAGCCAACTGTCACAGGACTGATGTCAGTGAAGGTTTATTCAGAAACTAGTAAAAGTCATCACAGAGCCACAGAGATGTAAAGAAAGGACGCTACAGCAGGCAGACAGGGAGAAAAACCTGACCTCTGTTTCTGGTGGACTGGCTGCTGCCTCATGGCCATGTACTGGGTGTCCTCCTGCAGTCGGTTGAGCGGCGAGTCTGGCTTCACCCGGATGCCGTAGTAATGATACTTAGAGTTGCCTCTGGTGGATAGAGTGAGAAAAGCCAGAAACCAGTCATGAGAAGCCTTGCCATCAGTGTAATCACTATCATTAGCCCGGTCCATCAGCAGGTTACCAGTGCCTATAAGCATTAAGCATCATCAAATCTATAATGGTCATGTGATTACCGTCATCAGCATCTGCAACAACCTCTTCCTACCTGGTGCCGAGGCGGCGGGTCCTCAGGCCCATAAAGACTGAACGGATGAGTTTGCCGAAGGAGGCTGCGTTAACTGGGTCCAGTTTCTGCTCCTGACAGTGCCGCAAGTAGTGGTTATAGAGGGAGGACCGGGGCAGGCTAACTCCCTCCGCTGTCTCGTAGTTGTCCAGAAGCCATTGCAGCTAAAAATACACAGAAGACAAGTCACAAAAAATAAAAATAAAAATTAGCGCTATAGTCACCTGGTGAAGACACGTCACAAAACAGACAACACGCACACGGTAGCCTGTTTTAGTTTAGTGATATAAATACCAGAGACACCACTGCAGCCCCCCCCCCGTCTAACTGTATTCTTCAGAGAACATAAGCGACTACAGCATGACGAACAGTAACTAAGGAGAATGGCTGAAACTGAAGAAATAATCAGCAAAATTATGATTTGCAATATGCAATCCAATAAAATACATCAAAGTAAATTTATGCAAACAATATAGCAAAAAAAAAAAAATTATGTTAAGAGTGAAGGAATCTACACCACAAATGTCCTCATGCAGATAAAAACCTACCCAGAGATATTATGTGAATCTCATTCTTAAGCCTTATTACACCTGACGGGCAGGACGAAAGCTGCACTGTAATAAAATCTGAGTGTGTGTCTCGCTGTACTTAGAAGTGAAAATAACAGAAATATTTGGAAACATCAGTCGACTTAAGTACATGCAGACGCAGAGCATTAATGCACATGTACAAGATGCATAACTGAGGAAAGAGTGATAGCAAATGCAAGTTCAGATAAAGAACATTAAGTGTGCGTGTCATTGAGACAGTGCAGAAGCAGATTAAGTAGCAGTGCGTTCATCTCAGCACACGAAGAGCACACAGCCCACAGATTCAGCCACGGCTTTCTTTCCTTTTTTTCCCCCTCACGTCCTTTTCAAAGAAAGTTCCTGGTTGACTTACATGGCTGTTGAGCAGGCTGCTTTTGTGACTTGCAATTCCTTCAGACTTTTGGAGGTTTTCAATCGCCATTTCAAGCTAAAGAAAGAAGAAGCATGCAAAAAAGAGAAAAAAAGAAAGAAGTGGACACAGAAGGGGGAGGAGGCAAGAAGAGATTGAGAGACAGAAAAAGGGAACAGAAATAAGCAGGGGTATATGAAGAAAAAAAACAAACACACACACAAAAAGATAAAGGTAATAAGACTGTTAGCGAGCAGCCAGATCTCTGCATTTCTATTAAAATCAGTCAGTGTTGTAGCCAAATCTATTACTGGCTGACAAAAGCATGCAAATCAAGGGACTCATAGGGTTAAGCTGCTCAGTGAAGGTTTGCAGTCAGACACTCTAATGTATGCAAATAGGAACCACAAACAGGGGTCGCAGGTCAGCTTAAGGTTTTCAGCAACAGGTCAACAATGCCTACCACCCCGCAGTTTATCAAACGATGTAGCTGAAAAATATTTGAAGAGCTAAATGGCAGACAGAGTAAGCTGTGACTACGACTTAAGCAAAACCGTCAGTGTAGAAAAATACGCTGACATATTAGTCTCTCACTAGACAACGAAAAATAATGGAGTCCAACTGGCGGGCAAAGTGAACGACAAAACCAGGGACATTCTGTTGAGCTGTAGAAGAAAAATCAAGTCAAAAAAGACTTGGTAGTGCAGCCAAACTGGAGACAGAATAAAAGGAAAAAGAAACGGGCAGCGGTCCAAGGCTCCCGAGGGCTCTTGGCCAAATGGTAATGAGCCCCAAGGGTTGCTTTGTTTCGTAGGGCGCTCAAGTGCCTGTGAAAACCTCTGAAACAAGGCAGTGCTGAATTATTTAAGCCAATGTCCCGGTTCTGCGGGCTCACTGGCCTGCACCACTCTGTGCGTTACTACAGAGCTAGGAGGCCCCGACTCAGGCTGCAGGTTCCTGGGAAACTGGGTGGTGAGTTAGGACACAGTCTATCTCAGGTAGTGATGAAACCTACCAAAACTATTATTTAGACCCCCCCCAGACTCTTTCAGTCATTAAGTATTCATTTTTGCTTTGTTATTAATCCTGTTCGAGTTGGTAAACGTGCACCAGAATAACAGCACAGCGGGATGGCTGTTGCTCACCATAGCCGAGGAGGAACGCGACGAGTGCGATATGTGGTTGCGGCTTCCCTCCATATTTCCGCCGTGGATCAGGTAGGTGCTGCCGCTGGAGATGATGTGGCTGCTGCCCACGTCCATGGTGATGCCTACCATGCCATGAGTGGGCACGCCGCCGCTGGCAGAGGAGACCACCGTGGTAACATGACCTCCACCGGCCTGAGAGTCAAAGTAGGGCCCGCCACTGCTTTGCCCGTACAACTGTGCCTCGGGGTTGTAGGAGTAGGCTGTTCGGCTGCAGAGAGGCCACAGAAATTAAAGAACATTTGATTTTCAGCTCTGCCTGCAAAGAGGAATCTTTATGCAAACGCACGGGGAAACAACAACAACAACAACAACAGTATTGTTAATATACTACATAATTGTGTTGACATCGGCAAAAATTACCGAGGTCGTGCAAATATTTCGCTTTGCTAGAGTCATTAAATATCAAAGTGTGGGATAAAAGTCGTTTAGGCATCAGTTACCTTTAATGGCACTTTGATCTGAGAGATATTTGTTATAAAGTAGTCTGGACAATTATTTGTATTTTTCAGGCCCCTCTTCTGTGGAACCAGCTTCCAGTTTGGATTCAGGAGACAGACACTATCTCTACTTTCAAGATTAGGCTTCAAACTTTCCTTTTTGCTAAAGCATATAGTTAGTGCTGGACCAGGTGACCCTGAATCCTCCCTTAGTTATGCTGCAATAGACGTAGGCTGCCGGGGGATTCCCATGATGCATTGAGTTTTTCCTTTCCAGTCACCTTTCTTACTCACTATGTATTAACAGACCTCTCTGCATTGAATCATATCTGTTATTAACCTCTGTCTCTCTTCCACAGCATGTCTTTATCCTGTCTTCCTTCTCTCACCCCAACCGGTCGCAGCAGATGGCCCCACCCCTCCCTGAGCCTGGTTTTGCTGGAGGTTTTTTCCTGTTAAAAGGGAGTTTTTCCTTCCCACTGTTGCCAAAGTGCTGCTCATAGGGGGTCATATGATTGTTGGGTTTTTTTCTCTGTATCTATGAAGCGCCTTGAGATGACTTATGTTGTGATTTGGCGCTATATAAATAAAATTGAATTGAATTATTTGTCTTATTCCTTTTATCCTTTTATCCAGCCCCCCCCATAATCCAAGATGACTCCACGTTTGAGATGGAGCCAAATACGTGCAGCGCTGTGTCTGTGTGATTTAGAAAGCAGTCCTCCGGGTTCTTTCACTGACAGAGTCATTGTAGTAAATGTGTTTCAGTTTCACAATAAATCTTTGTCTGCATTTTTTTTTTTTAAAATTTTTATTCCCCATTTGAAAAAAAATGCAGCACGACTCACATTGTTCCATTGGTATAAACCGCATCTCCACTGTCTCCAACATACTGGACCTGTGACGGGTAGACATGCTGCACCTGCTGCACCTACATGGAGATCACAGTACAATGAAAGCAGCGATCAGTGGAAACAGGCCTGAGAAGATTTCTTATTTATTTATCAGAACCAGCTGCAATCAAGTGGGCAACAGGAAAAAATAAGATAACGGCATAATTCTCTCATTGATGCAGTCTCCCACAAACCCATGGGAGAATGCATCAACACAACTTACATCCATGTCTGTCCACACACATAGTAAACTGCATGAACTGAAGAGCATTAAATGACCTTTGACTACCAATTTTGAATCAGTTCCATCCTTGAGTTTAAGTGAACGTCTGTGCCAGAAACTAAAGGTGATCCTATCGCTTTTGCAAGAATGGAAGAAAATTAAATCACAGTGACATTGATACCTGACTGCTAAAATCAAATCAGTTCTTCGTGGAGTAAAGACTTGTGCCAAATTTGTGGAAATTCCCTCAAGGCATTCAAGACATATTCACAAAAAGCACCGTGCCGCTGACAGCTGTTGCAGGCATATAGACAGAGTAGATTAAAACATACACTTTGCATTCGGTGAAACAGTACGAGCGGATTTCAGCTCGAACCAATGAAGACATATCGCACATGTGGTTTCGCACAGAGTGAGCCACGATGTTGCAAAATGGAATGATAGCGTTCCTCCTTCAAGTCTTTGTTTATCTTGTGCAAATCTCCCACTTTACCTCTACCAAAGCACTCCACCACTCTTGACAGATGGTAAGCCGCGCTCCATCATCTTTTCGTTTATTCTACATCTCACAGATGTAGAAAATCTTTGGGCCAAGCACATCAAGCATTTTTCCAATTTTCTGTCCGGCATGTTCTTATGCCCATCTTAATCTTGTCCTTTCATATATTGCTTTTCCTCTCTGACTCTGCTCTAAATGTCGCCTTCCCTCTGTTGACAGTGAGAAGGCTGTTTTGTGGGTTTCGTTTAATGAAGCTGTCAGTCGAGGACCTGCAGTTTGCCCATTTCTTTAACTAGAGACTCTGATACTTGTCTTCTTGGCCAGATGTCCACTACAGCCTCCTACTTCACTTTCTCGAAAGCCAGCACAAAGATTTTCATCTCAACTCAAACAAATTTGAAATTCTAATCTAAAGATTAATAAGGTTTTTGCATTAGAGCTCACTCTGTACAGTGGAACACAGGAGACACAGCTGCAGAAAATTAGACAGACATAGTTTAAAACAAAAAACTAATTACTGATTACATCCCATTTACAATGCTTCTAATTTTAAAGTCACGTAAATTAAGAAACTTTTCTTCCAAGAATGAGAACATTTCTAAGTGACCCTGAGGTTTTGAGTGCTAATGAATGATGCACTGAATGATAAAGATGAAGAGTCCTATTTGCGATCAGATGACCAATGGACAAATCACATTATAGTCTAGGATCCAGAGCTACATGTAAGCACAATGTAAGCATACATAGGCAACAGAAAAGCCAAGAAAAACACTGTCATCACCACACACACACATTCAAAACTTGTTCTTTTATCCAGCGGGACAAATAACAGTTTAAAATAACATTTTCATTTTAAAAGCCGCCAAGAGACATTTTATAGGTATACACATGTTATTCATGTATACAGCCAGTGGACCAGGCTCAGCCAGAGAAAGAAACTTTCACACACCCATGAGGAGCACAGCAAGAGGAGAAATGTGCTTAAAAACAAAAAACGGGCTGCCATGCTAGAGAGCGTTTAAATACACAAAGGTGGATATGTTACCAATTTGGTTGTGTACTTCCTAGTTTGTTAACTGAAGACCAAAGCTGAAGCTCTTCGGACTAAATTTCATTATTATAAACATAAACTGTCACCTGAACAGGACCTGACGAATAACTAGTATTTGTAAACGACAAAACTAAGCCGTGGTCAAACAGGGGACACGGTCGCGTTACCAGTCTGGTATTCTGGATGTGCGAGTCATTTAAAATGTAATCTTCTTCCTACTTTATTGTAAGACTCCACAGGTCTTCAGCCGTCAAGTCAAGCGGTGTACATAATGTCAGAGCACAGTACAAGTAAGTACAGTACTGTGTACCTGCTGAGGGACCTGTTGAGCCCTGGGTACTGAAAGCTGCTGTACTTGTCCTCCCTTCTGAGCTGAGCCTGTGGCTTGAACCAGCACTCTCTGTGTGAATACGAGACATAACTGAATTACATAGATGGGCATTTAAAATTCATACAAACGCATTATTCTAAACATGCAACAGTCAACACAATAACAAACATCTTCATCTATAAATGTCAGGTTTACATCTCTTTTTAATACAGGTTTTGAATATAAAGTAGCAACGATAGCAATAGACAGACATAAAAACAACACGACAGAAACTTCGACTGTCATTTGCGCTTGCGCTGATAATTCTCATTTATCTGCAGCCTCGAAACATTAGCAAATTTGATGTACTGGTCTGGCAAGACAGAGAGAACTCATGGCAGAAGCTAATAATGTAAATTGATACGAGAGGCATCTGTTGGCAGAGTGGACGGTAGCGGCTTTATTTGCTGACAAGTTACAAAATTGGAACCACAATTTAAAAATACATTCTTATTTATTGCCGGTGCTGCTGGACAGGGCAGGGTTTAACCTGCTGTGTTAGGGTGGGCTTTTAGAAATAATACGTGGGCAAAGCAGGACGTCGCTGTAGTCTCAGTCAAGAGACAAACCGTGCCAGTCCTCATCAGATTTTTGTCATACAATTCCTGATGAAATGAGCTTAAAGCACTTAAGTTAAAATAGCATTTAGAGCACTAAACTCCTCCTTTCTGTGCACCAGTTAGAGCAAGTTATTTGTCTGAGTGTGTGATTTTTCATGGGCAGTGTAACCGTGTGCGCGAGCAGACAGGTCTGCCTGCTGCAGCTCTCTGCGCTGCACACCCAATCAGAAGTTATAAAAGGGATCTTCTATGCTATATTTCCATTGGCATTCCATGTAACGTTAGCTCCTGGCTTGGCCTGGTTTCCAAAATAACTTCTCCCTTATACTTAACATTTGGAAAGAGATGGCACGGAACAGTTAAGTCATGACAGACTTTGTCCTATCATCACAGTAGCAGCAGGGTAGATATATTATCCTACCTGCTGAGAGGCTGGGACAGGCTGTACCACCGGAGCCTGGGCTGATGATGACGTCCGCAGCGCTGCCACGCTGGTCGTGGTTTCTGACCCTCCCTCGGAGTTCTGCATGCTGGGAAGCATTAAGGAGAATCAGAAAAGACATCACCAGAAGTCATTTTCTACCAGACTGAAGAAATACCCTTCCAGGTAAAATTTTAAAAAAGAACTTTGAAAGAATATAATATGAGCACCTTAGTAAATAAACACTCTTACATCCCATCCCTACTCTTGTGGAGCCACCCGGGGGGGGGGGGTTTCTAGCTTTACCAAATCAAGCTGAGTCACTACAGCACTCAGAACCCTAGAGGCTGCCCACCTTTAGTTTTAATCAAAGACAAGATCAATAGGCCAACAGTATTACTGACACACATCGTCCTGCTGACAGAGGAGACCCAGGAGGAAAAATTACAGTAGAGGAGTTGAAGTTACCAACAGGACTGAAGTGCTTCGTGGGGACCAAACCCATTGCCACTACTCTGCTTTCGACTGGGTGACAATGTGCACAGCATAGCAAAGGGGAGCTAAAAATGGAGTGACACAAAGGCTCTCTTTAAAAAAAAAAAAAAAAAAAAAAAAAGGACAGAGCAAGAGCGGGAGCAACAAGGCAGGGACAAGAGAAGAATGGGAGGGGGGGGTAAAAAAAAGCCCCAAAAGAGAAAAATGATGGGGGGAAAAGATGAAAATAGCAGTGGGGTTCGAGCCCCTGCCAGGGTCCTGATGATATCCAGTGTTTGTTTCAAGCAAGAGCTGATCTCTGAGGGCTCCAATAATCCAGCTGATATGAGGAAATTCCTCAATGCTTTGTAAACGTTTGTCGGTTGCTATGGTGAGGAATCTGTGCCCCCCCTCAGCTCCCTCCCCACAAACTCACCCTGACTCCCACCCCCACGCCTTCATGTTCACTCCTCTATTTTAGCCCCCTTATAAAGCTTCTGCACAGGAACTTTCGAGTACAACCACAAAGAGAGTAGGGGGAGGATGATTTGAATAAAGGAGAGGGAGATACGGGGGGGCTGAACTGAAGAGCAGGCTTTAATTTAAAGGCAGAAAATGTGGGGTAGCAGGAAAAGTCAGTAGGGGAACAAGTAGGTAGTGTTCAGATAGAGTGTTATAGCCAAGGGCCGCAAGACACAACCTGCTCTAGACATGCTGCGATTAGTCATAACACACAGTGTGCGCAACAACGTTATTTTAATTCACTTGAAGAGACCTGACAAAAACCACTCTGTCTGCAGTAATCTGCACACTGAGTCATTAGTGCAGCCACACACGTGTCTTGGCTTTCTCAACGCTTAACTTTCAGGTAAGTCAAAAGACTTCGACTAGTAACTAAGGGGTTGTAAGTGTGCCTTAGAGATTAAACACAAACTTCAAAACCAAACTTGAACTTTTCTGTGGACGTGCCAAAGAAAAAAAACATTTGGAAAAACTAGCAACGCGAGAGCAAAAACCTGGATCAGTGACACTGTTGATGGCAACGAGGAACAAATACATTTAACTAAAAAAAACATGAATATCACAGATACACAATCTCCACCACGCAAAGCCGTGACATTAAAAACACAGACCATAAGGATAAATGCTTCACTACAAAATGATAACTAGAAACAGTAAATCTCCAGCAGACCAGCTAAGGACTGTATCGCACAACGCCTGGCACTGTCCCTCATAAGTACTTGATCAAATGTTAATTACAGCATTTAGAGCTTACGGTTCTTTCACTCTGTAAGCTATTTTAATGCACTTTTAAAAACCATGAAGGAAACATAACTTTGTTTAAGATGCAACACTTATTAATAACACACAAAAACCCCAGAAAACAAACACAAAAATCCATCATAAACAAAAATAGACTTTTTAACTGTTACTTCTCAGGTTTTGGACACCGAATGTAACTTGGCAACATGTAGAGTTTGGGGGATAGAATACCTTTATGATAACAGATATGGGTGTGCCACTAGTGACAACTTCCATGTGTGCCAGAGGCAAAGACAGTGTTCTGCTTACATGACTAACAGACTAAGCGTAGGAGGCCTATGTTGAAATTCCTGATGTGTGTCAATCACAACTGAAACACCAACCTAATCCTAAGTGTTGTATGAGTCTTTCTTTTGGGGGCATGCTTCTGACTCAGACAGAGACATTGTCCTTTAAAATATTTGAAACATGTAAAAGGACCAAATGTGAACAAATGACAAGAATCTATTATTAAAGAGCACCAACGGGAAGCAAGACAAACCTCAGGAGCTTCTTTATGCCATTAATGAGTGGACGGCACAGCAAGGTGGTGAGCAAAACAAGAAAAGGATCATTGACCTGCGTGTTTTTGTCTATGAAGGTGCTGACTTAAATTAGATAAGGTAAACTGCGCTCAAATATTTTTTTTAAAAATTAAAAAGAAAAAAAAAAATCACTGAGTTGGTGGGAAAGGAGAAAGTCTGTGGCTCAGAGGAGTCTGTTTAGCGTTCGAAGAAGGTTAAAAGCCACACAAAATCCCCACCAGCAGCTCTGAAAGGCACAAAGGTAGAGCCCAGCAGGAGGGCCAGCTCGCTGCTGCAAACCCACTACTTATGATGGGCTACGGTCAGATCTTTATGCCTCCTACTCAGAGACAACTTCACACAAAAAGTCTGTTTTCATGTCAGGTCTGCAAGCCTGGTTTATTTCAAGCAAAGCCCAGATAAGCACTTTACAACATTACACAAAGAATCCCTGCTTTCAGGAGATACCAGAGTTTTAAAAGCTATACAGAAATAACAAAAGTCACATGTTAGGAACCCTGGAGGCCTCCCAAACTGTCATTAATAATCAGGCCTATATTGCCAACAAAATTTAAACATCTGTCAGTGACAGATCTAACTTACACAGGGCTCAATCAGAGAAAAACACATACAGATGTTCAATTAAAAGCAGGAGCCCGCAGTCTTGGCTCATGTTTGCACTGGCCCACATTGTTTGCAGAGCAACAACGGTTGCTAGTGGCAACACCGTCCACTCCCGTTTCCAGGAGCCTGTTGCTACGCAACCAACAGAATACTTCCCAAACCAAACAATGCCATCCCCCACCTGATCCTTCTATCTCACGCTAAGTAGAAACTTACAACAATAAATAGTGTGTATGCTATTAATTTCAGACGGCAGGGGACATGGAGGCAGAGTTATTTCTGTGCTGCAGTCATAGAAAAATGTACAGACTTTATGCTGGTTAGGATTAGGTTGACTGCGACATGACAAAGTGCTGTTTTCTGAAAACACTCGGTGGTCAAAAGGAGGAGGGCATGTTTAGGCCATCGAGGAGACAGGAGTCCATTCGTCAGGGTTAGCTTTACACTCATGCCACCCAAAAACAACACATCCAAACCACGCTCAGTCTTTGTCCACGCAGATGACAGTAAACAGCTTGAACCGAGCAAAACTTTTTCCAACTCGGTGGAAGAGAAAATACAGCATAAGTAACACTTGTTGTGTTTGAAACTGAGGATATTTGTACAACCCTGCATTACCTCTCTACATCTCTCCAGAATGAGCAACAGGTCTCTCTCAGGGCTTTTAACATACACTCCCCCAATTTGGGGACTCATTTAGTCAGCGACATCATTTCAAGCAAATTCATTACAATCTGTGGCTTTGAAAAAGAAAGCATTGAGCTTTTCTTTGATTTCATTAAAAGAACTTATAAGATCACACAGGCACACGCGCTCGCACAAAGAGCGAATTAAGATATGATAAGAGATTTCCACAACAGAGGCTGTTCTTCAAGCCTGTCTCATTAATTCATGGCTAATCCAATCAAAGCAGCTCTTGGGGTCTGCAGATGGCAGAGTTTAGGGAGAGCTGGGAGGGGGCGGGTGGGCGAAAGAGAACGAGAGACCGAGTGAGAGAGGGAAGGAAAAGAAAAAAGGAGGCACCGGCCACTATCTCTGATGCAAGCACACTCCTCCCCTCCCTAGCTCGCACCTCCCCGCCTCTGGTCATCAGTGCAACCTGTCCACTCCGTCACCATGTGTGCTGCAGGCATGACAGCCACAGAGAGAAAGATCAAACTGTTGCCATGGAGACTGTGTGTGTTCGCCTATGCATTACACTCACAACTTCCTCCCCGACGCCATACCTCTTCTAACCCTTTCCAGATTTCCATGCCCCCGCCCGAGCCTTTTATCCTTGCCATTTAACATCTGAAGATTAAGGCTGAGGATCTGAAAATGGCACATTTTCAACAAAAGTTCAACTGAAAGAAAGCAACACAAGACAGGGAAGCGGAGCGAGACAGTCACAACTGGGAAATGTAATCAGAGTACCCTCTCGTGTGTGGGCGCCTCTTTCCTTCGGGAGAATTTAGCTAATGTGTTTCAAGGCTGCCACACCGATAACACAAAGAAGGGAAGTTTACTCGAGTCACCTGGCTGCTTAAGAGCAAAGGAGGCTAATGACTACAGAGTAGAATTTTCAATAATACCAGTTTCACTCATGTAACAGCAAGACTTAAATCACATCCTCCTGTCAGGCCTGCAAAATGCTTTCATTTTGTCAAATTATAGAAAACATGAGAAGCTACAGCTGTATTTTAGAAGCTTTTTTTATTATAATGCCATTTTGTCATTGAGATGCAATATTAAAAATCTATAGATACACTACAAAAATCGATTCATGTTTTCAGTTCTGGTTTTTTAAGGAGGAACTGGAAAAAGGTGACATATCCTAATGCTTAAGTTGGTCGTGGATTTTCACCTTCTCTGTAGCTACACTAAAATACACAAATCTGGTTTTAGGTATTCTGTTATAACAGGTGTGTTTCAAACCCGTGCACTTCCTTTTTTTCCTTCAGGGAAGCACATTCTCTGAAGATTACCTCAGGTGCTGGCAGCAAGCTTTCTCAATCTTGACCGATGAACCTGAGATAAGCCTCATGTTTCACTTGAGCAGTCTACCTTCTTGGCAAGCATTTGCGCCATAGAGATCTGACACCAAGAATCATCGTACTGTATGTACGCGGGGCACTACTTGATACGAAATAATGAGTCATCAGTTAATGCTTTAAATCTGAGACAGATCCAAGTGTCTGTTGTTTATGTAGTGAATACTACACCAGGCTGAGTGCTTGCCATCAAAACACAGATTTAAGTGTTTAACGCATCCTTTGCCTTCTACACATCTACACATGACTAACACATGGCAAACAAACAAGAACAATTTCAGTGCACTTTGGCCCTCGATTCTCCAGGTCGTGACCTGTCTCGCCAGTCTTCCAAACGGCTCCAGAATGCCCCAGGTTTAATCTGGGCAGAGATCGGCAGATTGAGGTGGTCATTTCATTCACTATATTTTCTATACTCACCATTCAGTGACTCTTAGTGTCCTACGAATAGGGTCATTGTTATCCTGGTGGAGAACACTCCCCCACAGGACAAAAATGTTTCATCACAGGATAAAGGTGATCACTCAGAACAGCTTTGTATTGACTCACAGTGACTCAGAGGTGGAGTGAAACCAACCTGTGCCGGGTTACTTCCACACACAACAACAAAATAAAGCCACCGAAGCCCCTCACGCTAAGGGTTTTTCCTTTCATTTGTCAGCTCTTTGGTATAAGTACTATACATACAGCATATGTAGACAGGTGTACTTTGCATGCAACAGTTTGTGCCAGACTACTGGTTACAGATAATAATCAGTTTTGTAACGGTACAGTTGCCACATACCAATATAATTAAATGATTTCAATGTAAATTAATTTAAACTGCTTGTCCATCAACACTGGACAACTTACTTAAATTGTATGGTAAACACAGAACAAACAGTCAAACTAACACACTGCTAGGCCTGCTGCCCTACCTTACAATCTGCAGCGCTCTTCTGTCAGAAAACACGATACCACCAGCACTGAAAAATCCAAGACTAACATTTGCTCTCCATTTAAGATAAAGAGTAGAAAAGGGTCTTCTAAGATAAATAATGAGATCTCACTGTAAAAAAAACATCTACCACTTAACAGAATCAAGAATGCTTCCACCAATGAATGCTCTGCAATCGTTGCCCATTAAATCTTATCATGTAAATGCTTCTAAAAAGCATTTCTGCCTAAAAATACTGTTTGAAGGCCTCTCAATCAAAAAGACTACCGTTAGTCTTGGTTCTGGTTGTTACTTTGTAGCAGGTTTGCACTAACAGAACATGTTCTCTTTTATTCAAATAAATATCCCTTAACAAATTAGCACTAAAAAAACCAAAAAAAAACCAAAAAAAAAAAACAGGAAAAGTGGGGAGTGAATGGGGGGGGGTCTGCTACTATTCTGACTCAAAGGAAGGTGGGGGGGCAGTCTTTGTAATGCAAATGTGACTGCCTTGTCTGCTGTTTGCGGCAGGAAATTTAATTACCAGTGTTGTAGCTACGATACAAACAGGTGGAATGCTAAGAATGCCGCTGATGACACACACACACACACACACACACACACACACACACACACACACACACACAAAAACATTTCATTTCACAACGAGTTTCAACTTGTTGTCACCACACGAGGGCCAATCAGTGGCAGCATTTTTCAGTGTGGGATTTGTTTCTTCGTATCCTAGCAGCACAAGTCTCCACTGATTTCCAACATCTTTACAGCTGGAAGACTTGATGCAAGTCAAGAGGATACTTAAAACAATTTTCCCTATCAACAAATCTTATAAAACAGTAATGGCAGCACATCAGTTAAAATGAAAAGCCCTTAACAAATAAATGAATTATGGCGCTTATGAAATTAAAACATTTCATGTGTACAAATGGCACTATTAATTTCCACTTAACAAGCCCCGCGAGGCATTTGTTTCTTAGTTCTTCTGCTTCGCTCTGTGATATCCTGACATGCTTTTGACTGCAGTTATGGGACAAGCCATTAAAAGTGGTGTTAAAAACAGGGGGGAAAAAAAATCAGACAGTGATAGGTTTCGAAAGCCAAACAGTTCACTTATCACACTGGGAGGTAAATGTAAGTCTGCAGGAATACGATCAACTGTAAACAGCACCAGCAAAACTCACAGTAGTGGTCGGGTCAGTGTCTGTATCTGAAGCTAGCTATTGGATTGAGAACTCCTCCCTGGGGCAGCATTGGGGCCTCATTAAGATGGGCTAAATACAGCATGAGCAAGCACACGCACACACCACATACACAGGGAGAGAAAGAACATGTGACTTAAAGCTGTGTCAGGTCACCCCCCTGCTCAAGAGACCACTGCAGCTGTCCTATTGATAGCTGAACTGTACTACAAACACTCAAAATGGCACACAGGCAACAGTGGACACTGCAAAAAAATAAATAAATCATACACGCAAGTCCGGACATGGCTTAAATTAAGGCTATGAGAGACGAAGGAAAGCCTAAAAAAGAAACATTAATATCTCTAAATCACACCCCAATGTAACACTTACGGTTAGCGATCTCAGGGTGAAGGCAATGTCAATAAAGCCAAGTGTGGTCACTGAAATTCAGGATAAAGACAGATGGCAAAGTAAACTACATCAGAAATTAAAGCAACATGCTAATTAATAATTTCCACACTTTACAAGCTGTGCAGTAAACAATTCCCAAATAGCTCTCTAACCCCCAGCTGCTCTCCACTTTAATTCTCTTTGCTGACCTGCCTCTGTAGGCTGAAGCTATGCACTCCTACCACAAAGAGGGGGATGAAAATAACCCGATTAAAAACACTGACTTTTAAAAGAATAACACTTCACCCCCCTCCCCCGGCATGCTCCAACCCCTTTCTTTCCACGACTTGGGTGTATTTGTATATCAAGTTGCCATGTAAACATAACAGTGTCATGCTCAATTGGGGGGGACACGCACGGTTTCAGCGCAGTCATTTATTTATTTTCATTGTAGTTGTGGGAAGTTGTCTGACCAATCAAACATAAGCTTCCCTCTCTGACACACAGTCCGAAACAAGTTCATGCACACGTGGTTCATGAACATTATATTTTAACATACCTCTTTTTGACCTAAAGAAACAAGATATTGGTTAGTCACTCAATCATTCAGCTCAACTTTCCAAAATGAATTCTTCATCCAAGGATTTTGTGTGTGTGTTGCCAAGTTTATGGATCATTGCAAAGAGGGCATCAATTAGTGAAATTTTCATGGTGCAAAGATGCTTCCTGATGCTTCAATAGCAAACACTACAAATGACCGAGCACCTGACAACTGTCTCGGAAGAGACAGTTCGTTAGAATTAATGTACCTCGTGGGACAGGAAGAAACACAATCCCAAAAGCGGGGGGACGTCTTTGGTGTGCAAAGACCTGGAAAACCAGTTACAGACACAGTCTAAAACTACTGAAAATCTCTTGCTTCCTTTGTTTCCTTTAAATGCTACAGCACAGATTGATATGCACCTTCGGCTCTGCAGAGGGATCAAACAGCAACCCTAGTGAGACCTTCTGCTTGAACAAAGAGGCAGTGGCACTAGGAACACCTTGGCCATTAGCACACAATTTGCTTCTGAATCTGATCAGTAAATAAGGCATTGTCAAAACGGGGGGGGGGGGGGGGTGTACTCCAAATTTAAGAGTGGGGAATAGGTCGACTACATAAATCTAGTCATTATAAAATGCATAGCGGTATATCGCATGCACTGCTTTAAAAGCACGCAGAAAACAGCAAATTCAACGCTTAGTTTCTCATCCAAGACAGCTACATAAAAGAACCATCATAGCACCACCTAGCTGTAATATACCCCCTTATTCAAGCCATTTCTCAAACATCACAACTTTTTCTACTGAAGTTATATTTTGGTATCAGAGGTCACAGAGTTTGATTCATGACGTGATTTAGTAGTGGGAAAAACCAGGGGAAGCGTCAGAATTTGGTGTAGTAACCCCGCCGGCAGAAGTTGATCAGTGGTTAAATGTTCGATATTTTTCATTGCTTTTAAGAGAAAACTTGCGAGTGAAAAGTGCTACGAAAGAGCTGCCAAGCTCCCGGAAGAAATAAAAGTTGTCACGGTGAGAAGATGCACGCAGCGGACGTTGGTTACGGTTAGAGCAACATAACATAACTGCCGCTCGTGCTAAAGGCTAGCTAGCTAGCCTTTCCACCTGCTTGAATCCGATTCTGGGAACGACGAAGTTTGCCCGTGCTGTGGCGAACAACACACAGCCGCCGTCAACAACGCCACACGAACTAACGAGAGAACTTGCACTCATGGCTGCTGGTCGTCCAAATTAGCATTAGCTGTAGCTTTGAGCGGTAGCTTCACCATCCATCCCGCTGATACTGAGCTGGAAGTGCGTTCAAACCTCGCAGCACACGGTACAACGTAGCAACAAGTGTAAAGTGATGCTGAATCGATTTGGAGTTGAAGTAACGATGACACGGAGTATAATGTTAAAGGCAGAGTGTAAAACAAATTAAGTAGGATAAAAGGAACGGATCCCGGGCTAAAGGCTGTCGCCTGCAACTGGTAAATGTCAGTCAAATGAAGAGTGGAAAACCGTTCTCAACTTGGGGCGGATACCACAAAAGAAGGGAAAGTTGTGTTGTAAATAATCCAGACCCCTGCTAACACGTTCGACCTCGAACTTAGGATTCATTTAGTTTCTAAATTCTACAAACGTATAGTCACCTTTGCCTTGAGAAAAGTTGTGCCCTCTCTCTTTCCACTCTCTCCCTCTCGCTCGGTGACTTCCAGATGCTGCAGCCGCTGTTGCTGAGTGTTGCGCCCGTTGGTAAGTAACTGTCTCCACGGCTACAATCACTATAGCGCGACGGGGTCTCGAGGCAACTGTTGCTACCCTCAAAAGCCTACGTCAGGGCCCTCACTATCCAAGGGAGGGGCCAAAGAGACGTGTTCCGCCCAGTTAAATAAAGCTGTAAATTCATATTGAACCACTGGGAGGTGGTCTTGGCTCAGGAGGTGGACAAGTATGGAAGACCGAAGATGCCGTGGTATAAAATAAGGGTGAAAAAGGAGTCAATAAATTAATTACAAAAATGAAATAAAAATACATTAAATGCTTCAAAATGTAATTAATTTAATTTTCTGCTTATATTCCCAAACTATTTTTTTGCTATACTTTTTAACCTTTTATAAGCTTTGTAATTTTAAAAAAGAGTTTCTGAAAATAACAGGATCAAACAGAAGTGTTACGAAGTGGGAACCTTTCCACACTGTTACACTGACTGTGTTTCAGCTCATTCAGGGCTGTTGTAATGGTGACGCTGGAGTAGAGTGAAGGTGGATGAAATGAAATACCTGGGGTCAACCATCCAAAAACAACGGACAGAGAATACAGGCTGGGTGGAGTGGGTGGAGATGAGTGTCAGGGGTGATTCGTAACAGAAGAATAGAAGAAAGAGTGAAATGGCAGGTTTACAACAGGGGTCGGCAACCCTGGGGACGGGTTAACTGATGGCACGACCATAGCTGGATTGGCCATCGGGCATACCGGATGGTGATTTTTCGTTTTTATGGGCCGATGATTTATTTATTTATTTATTTATTTGTAACGGTATAAACACTGAAAGGTGGTGGATTGGCCAGATGCTGGTCGATGTGTAAAAATAAGTCAGTTGTTTGGTGGTGGCTAGGGCTGGGCTATATCATACCGGTGTAATGTTGGGCAATGATAAGAAAATGAAATATCGCGATAGAATATGGGTAAAACGCGCATGCGCGGTGTCTTTGTTTACATACACATGGCTGTGACGGAGAATGAGAAAGGCGAAAGCGGATCGTTGAATGAAACCATGAACCAGAACTGGTTTGTAAAAATGCTGCAGCTTCACTGGTGTGGAACTGGTTTAGCTTTCATCCATCAGATACACAACAAAGCACTATTTTTGGTAGCGCATGCTAGCGGGCCGTCGTTATTACCGTATTTTTTGGAAAATACGGCGCACTTAAAATCAATCCTTTGATTTTTCTGAAAGTCGACAGAGCCCCTTATAATCCCGTGTGCCTTATGTATGAACTCTGGTTGTGTTTACTGACCTGGAAACGATTTTATGTACACGGCGCTCAAAAATCTGTTAAATGTTTCAGTACGACTTTGCTTAGCTACGAAGCCGCACCGCTTGATGGATTGTCGGAGCATTACGGCTATCGTAGGCGGAGCCTCGCGGAGTGATACTGTGCTTCAACATAATGTTACCATACTGTGTGTGTATAACCTCTTTAAGTTTTGTGGATATTATACATGGTTATGCTGAGGATATGTCGGCCAGTTTCCACTGGAAATGCCTTTTGGTTAAACTGTCAGCGAGGAATTTGCATTTGCACTGTTAAATTTTTTTATATAACTTAAAAAGCTGCTTGTGTAAGTGAAAATACATTGATGGGGGTTTTTTTGCACTAATAAAGTTGAGGAGTCGTAAAGTATTTTGTCTAGTGTCAATTATATCGTCAGTTATATCTTATCGTACATTTTCAAATGTATATTGTGATAAATATTTTTGGTCATATTGCCCTGCTCTAGTGGTGGCTATGGCGGAGCTTCCACAGAGGCAACAGGTGGATGAGGGGAAAGTGGAGGCAGGAGAGACCCAAGGCGGGCGCCGGTCCAAGTATCAGGTGAACTGAACTTCAGGTAAGAAGTTATGACCTGCAGTCTATCAGGGTCAGATATAAACCAAGTTTAGATGGAGTTTATTTTTGTTAGGCTGACTTTTTCGTACTGCGTATTAGCTAGCATGACGGGTTTCCATACAGCTGGGTGGGTGCTATGATGTTACTGATGGTGAACTTTATTTTATTCATAAGGTTAGTTAGTAAAGTTTCCAACCGTCCCCTAAAAAACGGAATCGTTCCGCATTCAGAGAAAATATTGCGCGTTTCGTGTTGAGCTGAGAAGGAACACAGTTTGTCCCGGACTTCAGCTAGAATGAAAAAGACACAAAGCTGGATTTATTCTGTCTTTGCTGCACAGCTGCCTCTTCTCTCATTCTCTCACCCTCCCTCTCCTGTTGCTACTTCAATCATGAAACTGATCAATGATCAGCTGATCGTCTCTCTTGTTTGTTTATCGCCCACTTTGCCAGCGGTTGTCGCGCTAAACAACAGCAGCACGTTTAAGCTTGATCAGCTGTTGTTAGAATTTATTTAATATTAATTTCTAGTATCAGCTGATGTTTGCTGGAGCCACAGCTGTAAAGCTGCTGGTCATGATATCGGTTTGGTTTGGTGAGAGGGAAACATGAAGATGAAACCAGGAGATGTCCTTACTGGATCATCAGAGCTGAACAGGTGATGGAGAAACAGGTTTACCCTTTAGGTGACATGAATGAGTTGAAGTTATGATCTGTTTCTGAGAGACAAATAACCCCAGGATCCTTTTCTAAGTAGCTGACAGCTGGTAACTGTGCAGGGGCGGGTCTAGCAAAGTTTTGCCAGGGGGCAGGTAGGGCATTAACAGGGAGAGGGGGGCACAAAGAAATACTTTTCTTTCTTATTCTCATTTAAAATGTCTCGTTTTTATTAAATAATTATCTGAATTTTACAACCAAAGTTTTTACCTGATGTACAATGTATAGAAATCATACATATACCAACAAGACTGTACATCACTGTCACAACAGCGTCTGTTTTCATTCAAAGGCTTTATGGCTTTAATACCTGGGGGGCCGGTCTCTAGTCAAAATGCCCGGGCAGATGTTTTGTCCCAGTCCAGCCCTGGGCACGACACACAGTGAGTTAATCTGAGAAGGTGCATTAAAAAATAAATGGCCGGGCCAGCGGTGCACATCGCAGATTAGCTCACATACACACATTAGTTGTGCCGCTTCTTAATGACGGCATCTTAGCTAACAACCCCAACTACCAGACTCAACTTGTAATTTGCTAAAAATCACTTCGCCTACCGGTGAGAGGGACGTTGCTAGCTGGCAGTTTTTTCAAGCGATGTTGAAATTTCCACATTCCAACACTTCAAATGCTTCAGCAGCTGTCGGCTCAGCGCAGCATCAGCACCGCTGAAACACACGGATACATCCGTAGACTCGAGACAGAATTCACAATGTGTTTTCAGGACTTTCAGGCGTTTGGACCAATGTTTTCTTTTCTGATCAAACCAGAAAGCTTTAATGAGCAGCTGGTTGTCTCACATTAACTGGCTGAGTTAATGCCAGTTAATGCAACATCGAAACGCAGCTGATTGAACTGAACAGCTCGACTCTGTGGGGTCAAAGTTTGCAGAACTACGAGCGCAGCTGGACTCCACAGCTGTGCGTGTTCATGGAGCTGCATGTTCACCTGCTGGACGTCACTACCTGACAGGTTTAACTGTCTTCAGAACATTGCAGAGGCCTTATTGACAGTATTTGGCTCTACATGTCTGTGTGAGCAGGTTTTCTCTCACATGAGTCCTGAGGCAGCCTCTGAATGCTGGACACTCGGAGACCTGTGTCTCTGAGTGGGAGACCAGAGATCACAGTAACATGTGTGTCTCTGTATTAACAAACATGAAATGTTGGCCCAGTTTATTTTTCTTATCATTGTTGTGAGGAGGCCATAAATAGCATTGGCATTTTCTGTTGTTCAGTTCATTTGCTGTTATGGATAAAAAGTCTTTTTTTGTTTCAAAATAGCTGATAACTATTTGCTGACAGCTGCCAACATCTGCAAACAAATATGATTCTATAAAGTGGTTCTATGTAGTGTGTAACTGTTGATATAGAGCCTTATTACATTTATTGCTAATGCAATCATATGGCACACTGACCTCTGAGGAAACTTTAGATGCACTCATCATCAGAAAGGTTGCCGACCCCTGAAATAGACTGTGTTTGTGATTTGAAGGAGCTATACACTGTGTACGACAAATACCATAATCATGGCCTTATAAACCCGTTTAAATAGGCTGTTCCCTATAAGCACAAATCAAAATCAGAACTGAACTTTCTGATATTGCACCTTACCGTTTCAAACAACTCTATATTTTAGCACTAAGTTGCAAATTGTTACATTTAAAAAAATTGGTTAGTCACCCTTTTTCTACTTTTATTTATTTCTGCTGCACATAAACAGATCTTTGCATTTGTTTGTGCATTTGTACACATTTTATTCTGTTATACACATGCATTTACAGACCCTTTATTAGGTACACCTGTAATCAGACAATGATATGTTAGCAACTCAATTAATTTAGGTATGTACAAACAATCAGTACAAACCTGCTGAAGTTCAACAACAACTTCTGGATGGTAGTGTCAGAATAAACAACATGAAACCATGGATCCATACTGGCTTATATCAGTGGTAATAGAGTGGGGGATATGTTCTTGGCACACCTTGGACCCCAGCTGAGCATGATTTAAATGTCACAACCTTTCTGACCACAGTGTACACATCTTCCGATGGCGGCTTCCAGCAGGGTAACATTTAATGTAATCTGAAACTGGTGTCTTGAAGAGGAAACTGAGTTCACTGTGTTCAGATGATCTCCACAGTCACCAGATCTCAATCCAATAGAGGGTCTTTGAAATGTGTTAGAGTGGGAGATTCACATCATGGATGTGCAGCCAACATGTCTGCAGCAGCTGTGTGATGCTATCATGTCAAACATGAGATTTGGGGCCAAAAACTATGAGAAATGTTTCCAG